GCCGCGCCCCCGGCGCACGGGGAGCGGCAGTACCTGGGGCAGGTGGAGCACATCCTGCGCTGCGGCTTCAGGAAGGAGGACCGCACGGGCACCGGCACCCTGTCGGTGTTCGGCATGCAGGCGCGCTACAACCTGAGAGGTGACCCCGGCCGGGCCCCCGGGGGCGCGGGGACCGGGCGCCGCGGCTGCGGGGAGGGGGCGCGCGGGCCACGGCTATCCCGACCTCCCCCCCCGCCCCGCTATGGTGCGGGGAGGAGCCTCCGCGTACCCCCACTTTCCAGATGCTAAACTGAGGCTCGGGGGAGGCGCCCTGGGTCACAGCAGGGAGTTGAACCTGGCTCCACGTGGCTCCTTTGGTCTTGGTCACCAGTGTGGCTGCCTCCCCCAAAGTGGTCCGACCCCGTGCCGCTCGCCCCACGGCTAGGTAGTGGGACTGGCCTTCCTGGAGCACTGGCTGCTCCTGTCCCCACCTTCCCCCTCCCCGTGTGGGCCAGGGTGCTGTGCAACAATTTTAAAACCTGGAGCGGAAATGCTGTGGGCGGGAAGAGGGGAGGACCGTGGGCGCGAACTTGTGGGTTCCTGTTTCCCTCTTTAACCTGGAAAGAAGTTCCTGTTCCCTGCTTTTCCTCCTTTCTCCTACAGCCTGGTCCCCGGGGGAGGGGGCGGGGGGGGGGAGAGGAAGGAGTCTTCCAGGCCGGTTGTTAACTTGGGTCAGGGTGGCCCAGAGCGCAGGAGGTTGGCCTGTCTTTAACATCGGACAATGGCGATCGGGATTGAGCCCCAGTTGCTAGGAAGGGGGGACTCCTTCCTCCTAGGTGCCTATGGTAGAGGCTATGGTGATTCCCAGGGGACGTGAAAGGGTGGCTTTGTTTTGTTTGTTTGTTTTGGTGGTCGTGGGGCCTGAATGCTGCCCCTCAGCTCTTCAGCTCAAGGCTAGCGCTCTACCACTTGAGCCACAGCGCCACTTTCGGCTTCTTTCTGCTTATGTAGTGCTGAGGAATTGAACCCAGGGCCTCTTGCATGCAAGGCAAACACTCTACCATTAAGCCACCCTCCTCCTCTCCCCGTCCCCCCATGAAAGGGTTTTGAAAGGGAAACATTAGATGAGCCATTTCACTTGGGGGAAACCCCAAGCTCCATCAGCTACTGCAGCTGGGACATCCTAGAAGTCTCCAAGCAGGGATTCCCTTAAACTGCTCTCTCAGGCTAGGGGTGCTACAAACCTGGTTTTAATCCACCTCCCCTCCCCCTACTCCTGCTCAGTCTTTAGTCAAGTTACTCTTCCTCAAAGAGGTTAATATGGAGCGCTCGCCTTGAGCTGAAGAGCTGAGGGACAGTGCCCAGACCGACAAAAAAAAAAAAGAGGTTAATATGTGGAGAGAATGCTTACGTGGCTAAACAGTTTCTTCCGCTTGTCTCCTGGTGCCTGTGAAATAGAGTGCTGAAAGTTCCCTCAGAAACTTGTTCTGAGAGTTAAATAGGATCCTGCATGTCGTTGCTCTTTGTGGTATATTAAATTATAGGTCAGTTTGCTTTTCATATATTGAAGCTAGTATGAAGCCAACTTCTCCTGGGTTCTGAGTAAGTTTGCTCTGGCCAGATCACAGCAGAATTAGGTGTGGGAGCTTTCATGCTTTATCCTGGGAGCTTTGTGGATGTTGTCACTGTGCTGTGACAGGATCACACTGATGCTTGTCACACTGATGCTAATTGTAGGAGCTCTTACTGTTTCCACATTACAACCTCCCCACCCCCCTCATCATGTATAGGACTCCCGGTGTCCCCCCCAGTTGCTGTGACTCAGGAGGGCTGTCCCTGTCTGACATGTTACTGACTGCCCTGCTGCCTGAGAGCCCCACCTTCATCCCAGATGGTCCATAGGCAGCAGCTGGCATTTTCTGATTGCTCAGAAACTCCAGGGCTTTACATCCTAGGCAGTTTTCCTCCACAGAGAAAGTTGGGTGGTGGCAAGGCCTGTCCCATGAGCCAATGGTGTGGCAAACTTTTTTTTCAGATGAATTTCCTCTGCTCACAACCAAACGTGTATTCTGGAAAGGTGTTTTGGAGGAGTTGCTGTGGTTTATCAAGGTAAAGAAGCTGCTACAATTGGAAATCCAACTGTCTATGACACCCAGCCAGGAGCTTTTAAAAGTCAGATCATGTCGGTCCTCAGCTTTCACATCCAGGCCTGTGCCTGTTCACCAGGACCAGCCAAGATTCCTCTCCTGGCTCCTTTTCCACCTCTGGCCGAACTGCTTTTTTTCTGATCCATCTTTCCTGGCCTCCTGGGGAATATTCCCACCCAGGCCTCTCCTCTCCCCTGGAACATTCTCCCACTCAGTTCAGTCGGCTGCCTTCCTTGATGTCCAGGTTTAAGACTTGAGATATCATACTCCCCTTCCCCCTCCCCTCCCCTGCCTTTTGTTTTGCTCCTTTGGGAAGCAGCATCCTCTGGTGTATGGTTTAGGCCTTATTTATTTCTCCCTGGGGGGAGGGAAAAAGAGGGGCACCAACAATAAGTAAGTGAAATGTCCTGTAAACACCAAAGAATGTTTCTCTTACTGCTGTTGTATCCCTAGGGCTTACAGCACAGCCCTATTACTTGGTAAGTACGCAGCATACATTGGTCACTGTGTAGCAGGTAGGTACCTATTGATCACTAACAAGTAGTAGATTGCTAACTCTTCCCTTCTCTACATCCTGATCCAGAACCAGTGATACTCTGTGCGGTGCTGTGCAGAGTATCTGAGGAGACAGGCATGTGATGGCCAAACCAGACCTGGGAGTTGTTAATACATTTTAGAAAGGATCCAGATTTTGATCCAGTCTGTCTTCTGTGTTGTTGAGGGGTTTTGGCCTTTCAACTGAAAGCCTCTAGCAGCAGACATAACTTTAGATAGCTCAGAAGGGGGTAGCGTGTGGTGTGTGTGTGTGTGTGTGTGTGTGTGTGTGTAGGTACTGGGTGGGGGTTGAACTCAAGGCCTTATTTGCTCTCTCTTTTTCTGCTCTACTACTTGAGCCACAGCTTTACTTCCTGCTTTTTGGTGGTTAATTGGAGATCAGAGTCATGGACTTTCCTGCCTGGGTTGGCTTCAAACAACGATCCTCATATCTTAGCCTCCTGAGTAGCTAAAATGACAGGTGTAAGCCACTGGCATGCATCCAAAGAGGACAGGACATTCTTAGAGCTTAGCTAAATGGATGGAAAATGGAGAATTTTAAAGCAACTGATGAAAGACTGAGAAATTACTTGTGAGAAAAAAATGACTACAAACTCAACAACAGAAAGTGAAGCAGGGAGGGAGCTGAATCCCTAAAATGCATTGCTGTGTTTTAATATCAAGCCTGAAATTCAGTATTCTAAGAAGTCCTTACCAGACATATGAGGTGTTCGTCTGAGAAGCTGATCCATTGGGACCTTCATCAAATCCAGGAGTTCTAGCATGCCTGAACTACAGTTTGGGATCTGTGAACAAGACAGGGCCATGTGAGGGCTAATCCATGCCACGCTCCAAGCATTTGCTAATGTTAACTGTTTCTTACAAAGATATATGTCAATATTTCCCCTGTGCTCTTATAGATGAGGTTAGAGGGGTGAGCTGAGGGGTAGGTAGCATGGTGGGGCACAGAGCCCACGTGTACATGACACCCCATAACCAGAGGCTCTAGAAAGGTAGAGAGGTCTGTTGTGATCCTGCATGGTCAGGATACAGATGAGGATATCATGGTGAAGTCAAAACATAACAGCCTTTTAAGTGTAGATTATATAGAAAGTATAAATTGGGGGTAAGCATGGTGGCACAGATAAGAGATGAATGCACGGTATCCAAATTTGGTCATGTGTGACTGATAGGAGATGGCTTGAGAGGTGGTCTAATCATTCTATACACGCCCAAAAGCTTGTGCTGAGACCAGTTGGTTTCAAGATAGAATGGGCTCCATACATGGCTACGGTTAAGTGGCCATCCTCCAGTAGCCTAGAGCCTCTTGGCCTGTACCCAGGTGGCTTGAAATCCACTTAGATGCCTGCTCTATCCTCATCTTTTGCAGGGATCCACAAACGCCAAAGAACTGTCTTCCAAGGGAGTGAAAATCTGGGATGCCAATGGATCCCGAGATTTTTTGGACAGCCTGGGATTTTCTGCCCGAAAAGAAGGGGACCTGGGCCCAGTTTATGGCTTCCAGTGGAGGCATTTTGGAGCAGACTACAAAGATATGGATTCAGGTGAGGAAACAGTACAAAGCCTTAGACTTCTAGCTAAGTCCAATCCATGGTTTCAGGTAAAGTCTGGGGGTGATGAGCCAGCATCCCAGTTTATGCCTAACTTTATTTTTTTGGATTTATGTGTGTGTGTGTGTGTGTGTGCTCTAGTTCTGGGACTGGAACTAAGGTTCTGGGGCTTGAACTAAGGAGCCTAAACACTGTCCTTGAGCTTTTGTGCTCAATACTAGTGCTTTACCACTTGAGTCGCAGGAGAACAAAATGGAAAGGTGGCTGTGGTTTCCCTTCTCATGCTGTAGGTGACACTGTAGTGACAGCACAGTTGGCTGGGTCACCTCTTTAGGGCAGACTAAAATTGCAACATTTCACTCCAGGTCTTGGACCTTCCTTTGTCCTTTGGAGTGTCACAGAGCCTGGTCTTTGGTGTTTCATGTCTTATGGATAGTTTTCAAAGCAAATGCCGCCTGGGAAGGGGTGTGCCTCTTTGTAGGAAGTGACACTTTACTGGCTGGGCAGAACCAGCAACCTGGACAAAAGGCATGCCATCTAAAGGGGATGGCTATAGCTTACTTTAGCTAACTGGATGAATGTAGGCCTGGTGGTACCCACATTCTTCAACAAAAGCCTAGACCTGCATTTATGTGTGATCCTGAACTTTTCTTAATGTTGGCAACTTCCAGAAGTTTTAAATGCACAAGTTTTTAAATGACCAGAAGTAGACAAATTCATCCTGGCAGAAAGTAAAGTGGCCGTTGCCTATGGGAGGAGAGAGGAATGGGGAATTAGCGTGTAGTGAGAGTGCCGGAGGGGGATAGTATGGTTCTACAACAGTGTGAATGCTCTCGGTGCGACTATATTGCATACCTGGACATGGATCTAGTGGTAAATTTAATGTTAATACATACTTTATCACAATGTGTGCTGAGTGCCAGAAGCTCACACCTGTAATCCTAGCTATTTAGGAGGCTGGGATCTGAGGATCCAGGTTCAAGATCAGTTCAAGCAGAAAAGTCTGAGAGACACTTTATCTACAATTAACCAGCTAAAAACTAACTTGGATGCTTGGCTCAAATGATAGAGGTCCAGCCATGATAGAAAAAAAGCAGAGCAAGCATTCAGTACCATAAATTGAGGCCTGGTGCCAGCACCAAAAACAAAAAGAGGAAATACTGTGGACTAGACTGTTTGTTCTTCATGTGAGTGGTCTGTAGTGTGTTGGGTCTCTTCCTCAGGAGATGAGGGTCCTTCCCTGGCTAGTTACCTTTCATCCTGCCTGGGAGTCAGTTATTTCTTATGATCTGATAAGTTTCAAATTGTATGTGTGCCAGCTGTTAAATGCCAGTATGGAAATTTGTCTTTGTTTAAAATTTTTCATTTTAAATTAATAGGTTCACATACAGAAAATTGGGAAAGACATGATAGAGTTTCCTTTACCCTTCAACCTGTTTCCCCCATGGCAACACTTTGTATACCATCTGGCATAAATCCACAGTAGTGCAATCTGCAGGGTTCATCAAGTTTTTTTGCGTGTTTGTTGGTCATGGGCCTGAACTCTGGGCCTGGGCGCTGTCCCTTAGCTCTTCAAGACTAGCACTCTACCACTTGAGCCACCTTCCCAGCCCCCAGGGCTCATCAGCATTATACACATATTTGTAGCACACATGTCCACTTCATGAATCTACCACCACAGTCAAGGTACAGAATATTTCATGGCTTTTTTTTTTTTTCTTTTATGCTGGTTCTGGAGCTTGATCTTGGGGGTTCAGTCTTTCACTTGGCTTTTTTTTACTCACAGTCAGTGCTCTACCACATGAGCTACATCCTCAGTGTGGATTTTTCTTGGTTAATTGGGGATGGAGTATCCAGAACTTTTCTGCCCAGGCTGTCTTTGAACTTCTGTCTTTCAGGTCTTAGCTTTGTGAGTAGCTAGAATTACAGGAATGAGACACTGGCAACCTGGCTTAAAAATCATTCCAATACTACCATTGTGGAAATGTGGTTAGAAGGACTTCCCACCCACACCTCTTCTCAAATGTGAGAGCCCCTCACCTAGAAGGGAGGGAGGGACGGGGAATGGAGAGCAGGAAGCTCTGCTCTTCATGAACAGATCACTTCTCAGCTTCCAGGCATATCTCAAAAGGGAGCAGGGAATTAGAGACCTGAACTGGGAGAAAAGTACCTAATCATGAAAATCTTTGAAACTTCTTAATATCTACAAGTCAGTGGTGTGTTTAGTCACTGAATTGTGTACAGGACTGTTGATGGAAGCGTGGGTAGGGTGGGGCCTAGGTCACAGGAAGGAGGCATGGTCTATACAATGCTGTCTTCTGTGGAAGGTCCATGCTTATGTGGGGCAAGAATGAACTAGATTGTATCGGTGACGTGCCCAGAATGGTTGCTGGGTACAGACTTAAGTCCTACAGAATTTTTAGAAGAATCTAAAATAGCTGAGATTGGAGATAGTGGATTAGTCTTTTTTGTTTTTTCTTTTCCCCCAGTGCTGTCAATTGAACCCAGATTTCCTGCATGTCAGGCAAGCACTGGACCACTGAGACACATTCTTAGCCCTTTATTTTATTTTATTTTTTTTTTATGACTATACCAAACTACTTGAAAGCTACTACTTTATAACTATACCAAACTAATTTCAAAGAAAAGAGACTTACTCATTTAGATCATAGTTCTGGAGGTTCAAGTGCTCACATCTGGTGACAGCCTTCTTAATGGCAGAATCCTGAGGTGACACGGGATAGCAAAGGACAAGACAGAGGAAGCATGTGTGTGTGTCTCTTCTGGTCTCCCCCTCCTATAAAACCATGGAGCTTCTGCCCTGATGACTTTATCTGGGCTTAGCTTCCTCCCAAAGGCTTAGTTGCTAAACACTATAATTGGATTAAATTTCCTAAACACCTCACAATGAAGATTAAATTTCAACACATGAACCCTTAGGGGACATACACTATATCCAGACCACCACTTAGAGGGAAAGGTTAGGGGAGAAAATGAAATTGTACAGACCAAAAATATAAGAGACTGATATACAGGAAAACAAACAGACCATCACAGCTCCAGAAAACAGACTCAGGAACTCAGCTAGGGCCTTGAACTCAACCCAGTGAGATGTGAGAGAGGCACAGAATGTGCTGGCTGTCGTATAACCTTGGGTCAGGGAGGAACATACAGTGAGGCCTGTAGAGATGACCTCGGGGCCACCTTGTGAGATACTATGAGTAAACATGCACACATCCTTTCTTCTGGACAATTTGCAGATTACACAGGTCAAGGAGTAGACCAGCTGCAAAAAGTGATCGACACCATCAAAACCAACCCTGATGACCGTCGGATCATCATGTGTGCCTGGAACCCGAAAGGTAGAGCACATCCCAGCCATCTTTTTCTGTGTTAGCCTAGTTAGCTCGGGGGATAACATGTGCAAGGCACCACTGTGACCAAGGACCCTGAGAACCCTCCTAGCTACAAAGCTGTCACGTAAGCTGGTATGGTCATGCTTCACCCCAAATTCACCCTTATATGGGTTTGGGCTCACATCTTAATTTAAGCATTTGTTCTTATTCCAAAAGAGCCTTAGATTGTCTATGCAAATATACCTATGGTTAATTATGTTCGGTTTTTGGCAGTACTAGAGCTTGGACTCGGGGCTTCAAGCTTGCTAGGTAGGTACTGTAGTGTTTGAGCTATACTCTGGCCCTTTTTGCTTTAGTTTGTCTTTCAAGTAGTATCTTGTGCTTTTGCCTGGGCTGGCACAGACTAAGATCGTCATATTTCTGCTTGGATTACAGGCATGAGCAACCATGCATATCTTGGGTTTTTTTTTTTTTTCTCTTTTGAGATAGAATCTCACATTTTACCCAAATGAACCTTGAATCTTGATCTTCTTGTCTCTACTTCTCATGTAGCTGTGATGATAGGCACACTATACCTACGATTTTTTTAAGTACAGTTAGGGTTTTCTTTTGCTGCTATGGTTTTGGTTTTACATTGTAACATAATTGCTGGCCCTAAGATTTTTTTTAACATTTTAATTTGGGGCAGATAAAGTTTCAGGTCACCTCTATCTCACTATCTGAGCAATTATATTGTAATTTTAGACTCTGCCAGGGTGTAGTAAGTACCTAGGATGGGATATTTGCATCCACAAAAGAGACTTACTAGAGAAGGATGTGCACAGGAACTGTTTCCTAATGGCCCCTGCTAATGAAATAATTCCTCCTGTATTCGGTGCTGCTATGGAAGCAGAAATCCTTCATCTCAGTCCCCGGTGGACAAATACTGGTTCCGCATAAATATACATCTGCAGAGATTCACGCTGACAAACTTTCCATCAACTTGGAGCTTTTTTGGAGGGTTTGGGGGGAATCTGTTACCACTTGATGGGAAGTGATGGTGGGCATGGCTGTGGCCCGGGGACTGTTTTCCTGATATCTGCCATCTGAGCCAGCTTCTGCTTCTGTTTTCCCTTACTGACAGCACCTTTCCCTCTGCACTTACTCTTTAGATCTTCCTCTGATGGCGCTGCCTCCCTGCCATGCCCTCTGCCAGTTCTATGTGGTGAATGGGGAGCTGTCCTGCCAGCTGTACCAGAGGTCTGGAGACATGGGCCTGGGTGTGCCCTTCAACATTGCCAGCTACGCCCTGCTCACCTACATGATTGCACACATCACAGGCCTGCAGGTGGGATGCTCTTGGAAAGAAAGGTGGAGCCAAGTGCTCTGAGCTCTTCAGTTCTTTTACGGGGAACAATGTGCTCTGATTGGTAGGAACATTGGAGAGAGAAAGATGTGAACTGGCTCACTCTAGGGCTTTCCTGTCTTGTGAGATCTTTGTGATCTAACAGGCTCATGTAGGACCACTCTTGTGGTACTCTTGTTAAACGAAACAAAACCTTGGGTAGTTTGTGTACTCTATATAGTGTGTAATTGATTGACATTTTAAAGGAATTGAAACTAACAATGTTCTGCTTTCTCCCATTGTTTATTTAGCCAGGTGACTTTGTACATACGTTGGGAGATGCACATATTTACTTGAATCACATTGAGCCACTGAAAATTCAGGTAAGAATAATACATGTTATATTCTTTGTTTGATGGTACTAGGACTTGAACTCAAGGACTCAAACTTTCTAGGCAAGTACTCTACCAGTAAGCCACACCCCAGCAATTTTTTGCATTGTTTCTTGAGATAGGGTTTTACTTTTTGCCTAGGCACACATCTGAACTGCAGTCTTCCTATTTTACACTTCTCACAGTAACTGGGATGACCGGTATGTACTGCCATGCCAAGCTTCTTCCATGGAGACAGAATCATGTGAACTTTTTACAAAGCACATGGTTGACCTAGAATTATGAGCCTCCTGATCTCAGCCTCCCAAGTAGCTAACCAGCCTGAGATATAAATGTACATTATCATGCCCAGCTATTGATTGAGAAAGGAGTCTTACATGTATTCTTGAGCTGGCCTCAAACTGTGATCTTTTGATCTCAGCCTCCTAAATTGCTAAAATTGCAGGCATGAGCCACTGCTCTTGGCATGTAGTATGTTCTTTTGAGTTTGGCATCTTTTTTTTTGGGGGGGGGGGTCTGGTCATGGGGCCTAAACTCTGGGCCTGGGCGCTGTCCCTCAGCTCTTTAGCTCAAGGCTAGCCTCTACCACTTGAGCCACAGTGCCACTTCCGGCTTTTTTCTTTTTGCTTATGTGGTGCTGAGGAATCGAACCCAGGGCCTCATGCATGCAAGGCAAGCGCTCTACCACTGAGCCACCTTCCCAGCCCTGGCATCTTTTCTTGATTTTTGTGGCGCAACCCTTACATCAAAAGCACTTTGCTTGATGCTGTGTCTAAGGTAAATATGTCATGCCCCAGCCGCAGGGCTTTGGGTTAGGGAAGTGTGGTGGACTGGGACAAGGCTGACCTCAGCAACCATAGTCACTGAATGTGACAGGTACTAAAAGGTTCTGAGTACCAGAAAGGAAGAACCACATTTGGGATCTTCCCTGAGTTGGCATTTTAACTCATATTTTTACTTGAAGGAGTTCTGAGATGCCAACATTCTTAATTTTGTGTCTAATACAGTGTTTAAGTCATAACTTGCAAGGGTTTGTCTGTTCAGATCCCTAGATGGGGTGGGGATTGTCTGGCCTCGGCCACGTAAGGCCAGAGAACTCATGTGGTACATGATGGGGCAGATACACATGCTCCTCCTTTGTTTCTTATAGGCTTCCCACAGCCCTCTTTCTGTATTGATAATTTTGTATGGCCCTGGAATCCAATGGCCATTGGCCCTTCTCCACCCCTGTAGTAGCCAGCAAATGATGACTTGAAATGATTAATGAAAATATGCCAGGCGCTGGAGGCTCACTCCTGTAATCTTAACTAATCAGGAGGTTGAGATACAATGATTGCAAAATCAAAGCCAGCCTGGGTAGGAAAGTCCCTGAGACTGTTACTTCCATTAAGCACCCAAGAAAGCTAAAGTGAAGCTGTGGCTCAAGTGGTAACAGTACTTGAGCCTTGAGCAAAAAGCTCAGGAGTAGCACCCAGGCCTTGAGTTTGAGCCCTCCACTGACAAACAAAAAGCATCTGCATTATAAGCCCCAAAGGAAATAAAACATTAGTCCCTTCCAGATTACATACCTAAGTTCCTCCTATTTGGGTTGGGTCTTTTGAGTAGAGGTAACTGCAGGTACATCAGCTGCTCTCTGTCCATCTGCTCTGTCATGAGGGACATGGTAATGTGAGGTCATGCCTTAATGTTAGAGTCCTAAGTGCTACTATGTGTGCATGCATCCCAGGAGTCTTGGCTGGCATCCCTTTCTATGAATTGTCAACAGATGCCTCCTTTTGTTTTTTATGCCATGGTCCGTTGGGATGGGAATTATGGAGCCCAGTGCAACCATATTGCCATATTGAATGCACTTGTGAGTTACAGATGGAAAAGCAAAAAGGCTGGGTCCACATGTGTAATAAATTTACTAGGATTTATAGTAAGTACTCAGATCTGGTGAACCATCTGAGGCTGTATAACATCACAAAATACCGGGACCTGGTGGTTATGCTCAGTAGTGGTTCCAGGAAGTAGGTACCTACGGTATTGATAAAATACCGTGTGCTTCTCATACAGGACCTGGGGAGCAGAATTTAAGCACACTGCATCTGTATTGCAAAATAATGACCTGATTTTCTTTTAGCTTCAGCGAGAACCAAGACCTTTCCCAAAGCTTAAAATCCTTCGAAAAGTGGAGACAATTGATGACTTCAAAGTGGAAGACTTTCAGATTGAAGGGTATAATCCTCATCCAACTATTAAAATGGAAATGGCTGTTTAGAGCACTTTCAAAGAAGCTATTACAAAGGTGTTGCCAGCCTTTAGAAACTCAAGTGAAAATTACTTTTGTTTTAAAGGAAAAAGCAGCTACAGAGGTCAAAAATCTGTGAGTAACTTACCAGTTACTACTTATTAGTGTTGAAGGATATTGCTGTTTCTTTTTTTTTTTTTTTTTGGTGGTCGTGGGGCTTGAACTCTGGGCCTGGGCTCTGTCCCTGTGCTCTTCAGCTCAAGGCGAGTACTCTACCACTTGAGCTATAGCGCCACTTGGTGGTTTGTTGGAGATAAGAGTTTCACGGACTTTCCTGCCTGGGCTGGTTTTGAACCTGGATCCTCAGATCTCAACCTCCTGATTAGCTAGGATTACAGGCATGAGCCACCAGCGCCCTGCTGCTGTTTCTTTTAGTCATGGAAGGTGTTGTTGAGTTAGGTGAGCTCACTAGGGTGCATGAGATGCTGAGGTGAGTTAACTACAGATATGTGGGATTATTTCAAGCCCAGGCATTCATGAAGGCTGGTGACATTAACTGCTTAAGCTAATTTTCTGAACTTGAAATAACACCATCAATCCTAACGTACAGGGTGCTTATAAATGTTTATAAAATTATATTTTGTTTTGTATACTGCTATAATAAAGAACATTCTTTTTTTATTTGCCCCTTTTTTCCATTGTGTCTTCTATTTGCTCAGTTCCTGTTTAAAATTGAACCTTCAAATACATGCTTTTTAGCAGGGTACAATATACGTTATAAATGTTATTTTGCTCTGTTTTTCCATGATTTATCTATTTTAGCTGTTTTTTTTTTTTTTTTTGTCGGTCGTGGGGCCTGAACTCTGGGCCTGGGTGCTGTCCCTCAGCTCTTCAGCTCAAGGCTAGTGCTCTACCACTTGAGCCACAGTACCACTTCTGGCTTTTTCTTCTTATGTGGTGCTGAGGAATTGAAGCCATAGCCTCATGCATGCAAGGCAAGCACTGAGCCACCTTCCCAGCCCTCTAGCTGCATTTTTATATTAAAATAAAATGGCTATTTAGTTGTCTTTTTGTGGGCCTGGGGCTTGAACTCAAGGCCTGGGCACTGTCCCTGAGCTTTCTTGCTCAAGGTTAGTGCTCTACCACTTGAGCCACAGCTCTACTTGTTGCTGTGTGTGTGTGTACATTTGTGTACATGTATACGTGCACGCTTAATTGGAGATAAGAGTCTCCTGGACTTTCCTACCCAGGCTAGCTGCAAACTGCAATTCTTAGATCTCAGATTCCTGAGTACCTAGTGTAAAGTCTGTTCCGAGCCCTACAGGCCCTGTGTAGACACTTCCCTACCTCTTGGCTAAGTTTCCATCTGGTATCTGTGTTCCAAGGTAACAGGCACACCTGGAAGCAGTCACTTCCCCCTCCTGCTAGATCACATCCTGGGCCGCCTCCCAGGCATGGGAAGGACCAGGGCACTGAGGTCACATCTGGATCCAGTGTGGCCACACCTCTTCCCATCCCTGACCTAGATAAGTCCTGGCCTGTGGGTGAGTGGCCCCTTTTGGCCTTCTCTCTCCACTAAGCACAACGGCTGATCGGCAAATAAACTTCTTTTCCTGCCTGAATACCGAGTGCTGTTCTCTTAGTTGGCTATTGAAACCTATTTAATATACCTTACAGCTAGAATTACAGGTGTGACTCACCAGTAGTACCCTATATACTGCGTGGAAAATGAGCTCTGTAACTTGTGGGCACAGATGGTAGGGAAAAAACTCGGGGAAAGTTAAGGAAGGGGTAATCTATGAACCGTTTCCTTCAATTTCCTCCATTTTTTTTAATAGTGTAAATTTTCTTAAGTATGATCAGGAAAAGGGATGCTGCTAGGCACCAGAGGCTCACATCTGTAGTCCTAGCTACTCAGGGGGCTGAGACCTGGAAGATGGAGGTTTAAAGCCAGCTGGGGCAGAAGAGTGTAAGATTCCACCTCCAACTAACTAGCAAAAAATAGAGTTGGAGGCATAGGTCAAGTGGTAGTGTACCAGTCATGAATAAACCAGCTGAGAGAAGGGCTTGCCATACTAATCTGTGAAATCATCTTCCCTTTGATGCACCCAGATTGAAGAGCCTCCTGGGAACTTTCTACCAGATTGGCTTTGAATCATGATCAGATCAGCCTCTTCAGTAGCTTAGGACTACAGGCATGAGCCACCTGGCCTGTATTGATGTTTTCAAAGTAATCACAATGAGCTGATTCATGAGGCTAACATGATGTTTTTCTGAATTGGGAAGGATGAAGTTTGAAGTCTTCATTTAAGAGATAAAAAGAGAGGCATTTGGGCCAAACACTTAATCTTCCTGAGCCGGGAGGAGTTTCTTCCAGACTTCACCATGTGGGTATTGGTGTTTCTGCACTGATTCCTCCTTCATTTCTGTGGAATAGCCAGCAGCCTAGCAAAGACATCAAGTGGATGGATGATGGTAATGACTACAGGGGACAAAAATGCCTATTTGTTCCCTGCTACTAGAAATGTTCAAAAATCAGCCAGACAGCTCCATATTTAAGAAACTCAGATTGTCTGAAAGAGCAGAAGGCTACACTCAATTGCCTACTCAAGATTACCAAAAATTACCAAAGTAATCAAACTTCCTTTGATAGCTGATGAAAATAAGCTGTCATCTGAAGGAAAATGGGATAAATGGCCCAGATTACACAGTTGAAGTCAAACCTTTTAGGATCACTAACTTATAAATGGTGCCAGGTATAGTTTGGGTTTTTTTTCCCCTCCAGAATGTGGATTTTTTTTTTTTTTTTGGTGCAGGTCTTGGGGCTTGAACACACGGCCTTGGCATTTTCCCTGAGTTTTTTGCTCAAGGATAGTGCTCTGAAACTTGAGCCACAGCTCCATTTCTGGCTTTTTTTTTTCTTCTCAATTGGAGATAAAAATCTAACATACTTTCCTGCCCAGCCAACTAATCCTCAGATTTCAGCCTTCAGAGTAGCTAGGATTGCAGGGGTGAGCCACTAGTGCCCACCAGGAGGGATGTTTTAAGGCCTCAGCTTTGACCCTCGGGCCTTAAATTCATATAGACTTACTAAAGAGCCACATGTTCTTGTGTTTTAGGCACAGGGGTGGCTGGTAGCATGTCTGTCTACAAGGTGTCCCGAGCCCCCGCTTACCTTAGGAGGCATGTAGGAAGCCTGCTTGATTATCACTGGATACTTGAAATGTTCATGCAGGTGGTCCACGTATTCACACATCCTGGAGGAAGGAACCACAGTAGGGCAACATTGCCTAAAGTTAGGTAGTATCTGAGCTGCTGTTAAAAGCTGGAGAGTGAGTTGGGTACTGGTGGCTCATACCTGTAATCCTTGTTACTTAGGAGACTGACATCTGAGGATAGCAGTTCAAAGCCAACCTGGGTAGACTCTTAAAAACACAAGTGGAGCTGTGGCTCAAGCCTTGAGCAAAGTAACTCAGAATCAGTGCCTAGGCCTTGAGTTGGAGCTCCAGCGCGCGCATACACACACACAAACAGTAGTGCCCAGAAGGAATGGGGGAGGGATTATAGCTCAGTGGTGCACTATTGGCCTAGCACACATGAGGCCCTGGTTTCAGTCCCCAGCACTTCAGTGAAAGGCCGTGGGGCAGGAGGGAGGGGAGGGGGAGGGGTACTGACATAAAGGCTTAGCTATGATTGCACTTATTTCTATGCAAAGTCCTTGACCTCTTTGTAGCTGAGATGCTTTCATCTGTACATAGAAATGTAGACAGGAACCAGGAAGTCCTTTGTCCACAAGGTTTTGTATGTGCCGACTCAGAGTCCATAAATACCAGGTTATTTGGGTGCCTTTGGGGGCAGGTTGGATGGATTAAACTGCTAAATGAGGTCCCTTGAAACTATACACATGACTTGGATGAAAAGCACAGGGTTTAATCATGTCAATTGGTTCAACTTCTGTCAGCAGCCTTTTAGTTTTGTGGTCAGGTAGATTATGGGGACAGGTAACATAACTTGATTCTTTTTTCCTTTTTGGTGTTGGTCCTGAGGATTGAGCTCAGGATCTGGGCACTGTCTCCATTCTTCTTGCTTGGGACCACTTGAGCATAGCTCCACTTTTGGCTTTTTTGAGTGATTAATTAGAGATGAGAGTCTCAAGGACTTTCCTGCCTGGGTTGGCTTCAAACTGCAATCCTCAGATCTCAGCCCCCTGAGTAGCTGGGATTATAGATGTGAGCCACCAGTACCTAGCCATACTTGATTCTATATGTTAGTGGACACAACTCAGGATCTTGAAAAGGTTCTACTGCACCTTGTCTTCATTTTATTGTTTCTTCATTTTATTTTTTTCCCCTCCTAAACTGGCCTCAGACTACCACCTTATTCTGCTTCCAAGTAGCTGAGAATACAGATGTGTGCCACTATCCCCAACCTTGTGTCTTTTAGTCCCTGGTACAAATAGCTGTGACAAGTAGTATACATGCTTGGTGCCAGGGATGTACAAGACTGGCAAGAGCGTCATGGTTTGAATGATCACAGGCCACTGACTTCATGTGCTATATGTCACCTGGAAAGAACGGTGTGACTTGGGATTGCACAGGTGGGGTTGAAAGATAAACTGGCGTTCTATGCAGAGGGAATGGCAAAGCCAAGTTGAGGTCTGACTGCACCTGAGGTCAGTGTGGTGGTTTTACATGTACAAGAACACTGCTCTGCGGCCAGCACACATGAACCTGGTGTCCTGAGCTGCCACAGGGTGATGCTCCTCATCCCTGCAGACCTGCAGGACTCTGAGCTTGATGGGACCCCTGTTAGCATGAAAGCAGAAACAAAGGAGGGGAAAACCAAAAACCTAGAAACATTTTCTTCACTCTAGGATCAGGATTCACTGCAAGTGAAAAAGGTTATCTAGTCACAACCTTCATCTTCCACCAATCCAACAGGTTTAGACTCAAGTGGAATCAAATAATTTAATGGTAGCTCCAGGATGGAGTTAGGTTTCCTTTCCAATCTAATGTTCTTCAACTTACAGTATAAGAATAGGTAAGCCATATTAAAAGCAAGCACCTATCTCACTACCAACTGAAGCCTTCTATGTGCCTTCACATCCCATTTCTCTTCTTGAAGTAGGTATTTACTTTTCCTCAGTATGTTATTTATGAGCCTTTTGTGACAATTCCAGGAGACAAATCAAGCCACACATGTGCTGTCTCCCCCAGGAGACTGCCAGTTTAATATCTGCTTGAGGATGTAAGGTGTAACTCAGTGGTAGATTGCTGGCCTGGCATGTGAAGGATCCTTGGTTTGGTCCCTAAGGAGGGAGGGAGGAGTGGTAAGTTGGTTCACCTGCAGTATGTTAAGAAATGAAGTGGAATTAGTTAAATAAAGCTGTGGAGGCATATAATGGGAGCCTCTAGTATCAGGAAGAGATCTGAACGAAATGCAGAACAGGCATGATGAAAGCCAGGCTGTAGAAAGTTGGAAAAAGCTGGTTGCAGGAGAAGTTCTGGGTAGAAATCATAGCCCTAGCATACAAAGCAGTTAGTCAGCTACCAAGAACCCAGCCTTCTAGTAGGAAGGACTACTGCTCTGGTGGGTCCTTTAAGTGCCTTATGTAGAAAAGCTGAAGCAAAACCAACTCGTCTATATGTACAGCCTGAGTCTAGTTGAACACCATTGGGTCTACTTAATTTGGAAGCTAGTGGGTATTTTGTTGTTGTTGTGTATGCCAGTACTGGGGCTTGAACTTACAACCTGGTGCTCTGTCTCAGCTTCTTTTGATCAGGGCTGGTACTCTTATCACTTGAACTTTGGTTCAACTTCGGGCTTTTTGTTAGTTACCTGGAGATAAGAATCTTCTCATGTGCTTATTCTTCCCCAACTGGTTTTCAAACCATGATCCTCAGCTCTCAACCTTATAAGTAACTAGGATTATGGGCATGAGCCCCTAGTATCCTATTTGGGGAGGAGGAAGGTGCTGGTATGGGGCTTGAACTCAAGGACCCACATTCTTGTTGGCTTTTTTGCTCACAGTTGGCATTCTGTCACTTGAGTCATACCTCCACTTTCAGCTTTTTGCTGGTTAATTGGAGGTAAGAGTCTCTTGGATTTGTCTGTGCAGGCAGGCTTCACACTGAGATCCTGGGATCTTAGCCTGCTGAGTAGCTAGGATTACAGGGACTTGCACCCAAGTGGAAGCTAGTATTCTTTAGGCCCTTTCAGCAGTGCATTGGGTTGTATATTTGCTCTTGAAAGCAGGAGTTTTCAAAGATCTGGCTGGCTTAAGGGATGCTAGTACAGTAAAGTGAGCTAGTGCCATATCACTCACCTGTTTTTTAGGCTTCCAGAGATTGATATAAAGTCAAATATAATCAAGTGCTGCACTAGTTCGCAGAGGCCAACACCACCTGCATGGGGGCAGACAGGAACTAGAAGAAAGACATTCTTGTTTTATTCCAAATGTAGTAACCCTGTAGTTTTTGTTCATGCTTACAGATTATTAGATCATTAATATTTAGTAAAGAAATTCTAGGATGCAGATCCCCCAAGATTCCTTGATTAGGACTACAAGAGTTAGAAAAAAATCAACATGGAAAGCGCGTCAAGGGAATCACAGGCAGCGAGGGAGGGGAGGGCGGGAGGCCTGGCTGACAGCCTCTACTCAGCCTTACTTCCGAACTTTTTGGCCATCAGTAAAACTGAGAGATTCTCATTGACACTCCCCAGTCTGCAGCTGTCAATCTGGAGAAACTGCAGGGCATCTGCCTGTAGGAGTTGCTTAAATATCACCCTATTGTGACACTGGAAATACAATAAAAAATAACACCAACAAGAGTGAGCCTTTGGCCTTCAGGACCCCTGAACCCAGCAGCAGGGCAATTCCTGGCCAGGTGTTTCTCACAGCAGCCTTGGGGAAGCTGGGACTAATTCCTCTGTGTTCTCAGTAAGCATGAGGTGGTGGCCCCTGACAGAGCAGGCAGGAACTTTGCACCCACTTCTTTGCTCATCGGCAGATGTGACAGCGTGAGTCAGGTGGAAGTCACACCAGCTCAGTATTTCTGAGGGAGTAACTGTCACATCATTGATGAGTGGGAGGTAAAGTGGAGCCTCTAGATGAAATTGTTGACAGTGATGAGCAGGCAGCACAGTGACAAATGGGACTGTGACTGAGCAGTACTGCTGCTCCTTTGGCTGGGAAAGCTGTCCCTCACACGTATGCTCGTGAGCTGTTGGCACCAGGCACTTAGTTTAGAAGCATAAAAAGTGAGCCACCATGTCAGTTCCTACTAGAAGCTAGCCTTGTTAAAGCCATGTATGTTCATGCAATGGTAACTTTAAATTACTGCCTTGTCAATTTTGATTCTATACTGAAAACAAAACCAATGACTTGAGTCATGTACTGTAGAAAAAGCCTCATTTTTTAAAAGCTAGATCTGACTAGATCTTAATCAACTGTCCTGCCCCATCACACCCCAGTGCTGGAAATTGAGCTCAAGGGCCTTCTGCCTTACAGGTAAGCATTCTACCACTAAGCCACATCCCCAGCCTGCCAATTGCTACGATGATAAAAACAAAATGCAACAGGTGATGAAGCCAAATGCACATCCTCTATTAAGTGGCCAGCCTGTGACAGACAGGTCAATCACTCACCTGTTCTCCTGTGGCGACACCAATGCCTAGTGGAGCCAGTGCCTACAAAGGAAGCAAGCTGCTGTTACTTTTCTTAACGTGCGGACAGCAGCTCCTAATGTTTAAACACTATATTTATAGCTGAAGAAGGAAACATCCCTGCTGTTCAACGTGTAAAGCCCGGCAGAAGGATGTCTGGGGGGCTTTGTGCACGTGGCCGGCTGCCTGTGGCTACGGAGGGAGACACACACTGCTCACGTGCTACCATTGCTCCCTTCCTGGCCACAGCTCCACAGACCCCCTCCTACTATCCAGGGTCTGCACATTGGTGTGCGACTGGGAAAAAAACATGGCCACTGCAGAAGTGGCCAATGTGCGGGGCTGGGAAGGTGGCTCAGTGGTAGAGTGCTTGCCTCGCAAGCATGAGGCCCTGGGTTCAATTCCTCAGCACCACATAAGCAAAAAGAAAAAAGCTGGAAGTGGTGCTGTGGCTCAAGTGGTAGAGTGCTAGCCTTGAGCTGAAGAACTGAGGGACAGCACCCAAGCCCAGAGTTCAGGCCCCACAACTGGAAAAAAAAAAAAAAAAGTGGCCAATGTGGAGGCATGGAGTCCAGCCTCCACTTACTGCTTCCTGAAGCTCAACACCCTTTCTTCCCTTCTTTTTGTCTTCCTGTAATAGTTCTTCTAGACCTTCCCAAGCCTCTATTCACTCTTCCAGCTCTATGGTGACTGAAGACAGACCATTGCTCACCGGATGAACTCACCCAGTGTAGTGCTAGAATCGTCAATGCTGGTCTCTGTGACCTCTCTACTGACCCTGAAAAGCTACTCACTAACTTGTCACCTGGGGCCAGGCGGCTCCCAGCGTCCACTGGACTGACTCCATCGTTCACCTCCCCAGGCATCTTTAGCCTCTGCCTGGTCTTCCTTCTCATCAGTGGTGCTAAGAGCTACCACTCTGAGTCAGGCACAGTGCTAGACATAGAATGACTACTGTGTCATTCCCTCCTTTGAAAATCCATAATGGCTCCCTCTGCTGGGCTGTGTTCTTAGAAATAGAACCCACCAACTGGCCTCAGGTGCTACCTCTTTGCTGCTTTCCCAATGCATTCTGCATCCCCTTGGGTCTCCTCTGGGTACTGGCCTGGACCTGCTGTTTTGGCTCACCTGCTGCCTGTTCCTTGAGCCTCCACCATGTATACAAAACCTCTGCGGGTCAAACCCCAGAAGAGCTTCCAAGGAGACTCCAGGTGGGCAGAGGTCAAGTGGTGCAGGCCCAAAGCATTCAATATGGTCCAACAACTCTTCTCGAACTCTCAAGGAACCAGGTATGGTGGTGCACACTCACAATCCCAGCACACAGGAGGCAGGAAGATGAAGTGCTCCAAGCTACGTAGTAAGACCTTATCTCAAAAACACTAAGGTGCAGCTCTAGATGATGTTTCTTTTTTAAATCCAAAGTGATATATAGCTTGATGGTAGGACGCACATAAGTGCAAAGCCCAAGGGGGCAATCCCAAGTACAACTAAAACCAAACCACAAAACACAAAACAAGGAGCAAAGGCAAGTGGGACTAAGTAGGTTCAGTTTGTCTAAATAAGCCTGTAGTGTCGCATTTTTTAGAGTCACCTTTAGACTCTACCGGGCCACCTCCTGCTGGCCAAGCCCATATCTGTCCTCCCTTCTTGAGCTTCTGACCAGGGCATTCAACACTCAGTGTCCTGGCTTTCTTACTTATTTGTCTTTGCTCCAAATATCCGTGTTTCCTTTCCAGCAAGGCTGTAAGTGGGGAGTGGAGGGCAATCTTTAGACTCGGGCTCCAAAAAGGATCTGACAGATTGTACACAGATTGGCCCCTGACCTCCATCCTCACAGAACTTGGAACTCAGACTTAAAGTTTTAAGATCAATTCCTAATGGGGTGAGTATGGCTATGCAAAGTCAGCTTAGGGAGAAAATGTTCCCAGGGAGGCAGGACTTTGACTAGTAGCCAAAAATGTACTAAGCCAAGGACACAATGTCCTTGGTTATCCGATGGAAGGGCATCAGAGGCAAAGTTGGCTACCTATGTGTCCAAGGAAAGGGATGAGGCTCTGGAGCCAGAAGTAGGCCAGTCAGTGTAGAGATGGCTTTTCTGGACCACTGTGGTCTGATGCTATTGCATATTCAAATTCTGTAACTAGTCTCTGCCTTGATTCCCTGTAGCCTGTAGTCTCGTCCTGTAGCTTCTGGCTCACAATGGCTTCCTACAGATCTCTCTGTGGGTTGGGGATGAAAACCTGGAAGTTACAGTTCTTCTTACTAATAACCCATTCAGTGCTGTAAACCTGAGCAGGGAGCCGGCCTACACAGGAAGAAGGGGTCTCAAGATGTTCTGATGTGGCAGGTGCTTCCTGAAGGCAGAAAGTGGCCCCCAGTTAGTATGAATTTGTTTCAAGCCTCCCTGGAAACAGGCAACTTTTTCCTTGGGAGGCCTGATCCTGACATCTGTTAAGGAACCTTTTCTTTGGGATCAAGCAGAGGAAATGCATGCTTTTTTGGTTTTCTGTGGGCGAATAAAGTACAGGATGTTCTTTAGTTTACATAGGGCTATGTCTTGATCATCCCACTGTAAGATCAAAAGGTCTTAGGTAGAAAATGCATTTAACACATCCAACCTACCAAACACTCTAGCTTAACAGCACACTGTAGAGTACAGGTGCTTCCCCCTTGTAGTTGCAGGGCTGTGAGCTGTGGTACATGCTTGCCTCCACTGGGCATGGCAGCAAATACTGCACTGCATACCACTAACCCAGAACTCTCCATTCAAAACGTGGAGTGTAGATTCTTCTGAATGCCTCGCACCTTTGCACCATCATAAAGATCATGCAGCACCAGTCAGGGACTGTTTATACTTAAATATGCTGTACTAGGGTAACCATGTCTATTCATCTTGGAGTTGGTAGTAGCCTTTCAACTTTTAGCAACTTACTGTGTGTCTGACAAATGGGAGTAAGTGGGTAAAAGGATGGCCACCCTACAACTGTTGTTTTAGGCCCAACTCACGACTATTTCAGCTACTTGAGCAGAAAATGTAAAAGGTACTGGCGAGGGAATTTTGGGGTCTGCCATGACCATGTTGGAAAATTAAATAACTACATGTTTGAGACAGCATAAGTGGTAGTCTCTGTACCTTGGAAATGGTGGCATGCCCCAGGATGTCATCAGGGGATGTTGGCTCCTCAATCCACAATGGCTTGAACTCTGCCAGCTTCGACATCCACTCCACTGCCTCAGGCACATCCCAGCGCTGGTTGGCATCCATCATCTGCAAGTTCAAACCCTTCACTTCACTGTAGAGCTGTTGCTCCCAGGGAGAAAATGCTGTTACTCTGTCATTGACTGCTAAGGCCTAGCCTACTGCCTGAATGAAAGGAACCAAAGTGTAGCCATTAAGACTAGAACTCTGCCTTCAGGTTCTGTCTTCTAGGGGAGATGAAAGTGGTTCTGTGAATCACTGTGAAGTCTGGAAGTACCCTGGAATGAGCAATAAGTGCTTGCTCTCCTGGAGCTGAGGACCGGCCTGCACTTAAGATGGCCTCTTCCCATAAGGTTTTGTGCAGTGCAAGATTCTCTTGGAACCATTTTGTTGCATTTTGAATCATATGCTCAGTCAATACTGAATTACCAGTCATTTATTGACCATTGTCCACCATGTATCTAACATATTAATAAATACTACTGAGTGAAGCACCTACTCTACCAGGCACTTAACAGATTTTGTTGCTTTTGATACTTAATCATAATCCCATGAGGAGGCACACAAGAATCCATTTTACAGATTAACAAAACCCTGGTGTAGAGAAGTAACAGTAAGTCCAGGAAATGATAAATTCAAGTTCAGGCCTTGCCCTTCAGGCCCTGGCTCTGCTTTGTCATCCTGCCTGGAAGTCAAAGCTGGGTATGCAGAGCTGGAGAGAGGGCCCCCATCCCAATGGCATTAGCCTTACCACACTTGGACAAGACAGACAAGAAAACAAGTATCTATAACCCACTAAGTGGTGAGAACTTCCTCACAGGACACTGAGAACCAGAGATAGTAGACTCAGAATCAATTTTTATCATAAATTATTTGGACAAGGATGACCTCATGAAGCAAAAGTAGTATTAATGTATATTATAAATAATGGAACTTCTGAGTAAGCCTCATTTTAAAAAAAAACAACCTTCATAAAAACATCTGATGTGACTTGCTATATGAAAATATTTTGTGTGTAATAACTTCCATAAATATTTACTCTCAGACCAGGCACCAGTGGCTCACACTTTATCATAATCCTAGCTACTCAAGGGAGTAGAATTTGAGAATCAAGGTTGGGTGAGAGTCTAAAAGCTAAGTGAGTCAAGGTTGGATGAGAGTCTAAGAGCTAACTAACCAGCAAAGAGCTAGAACTGGAGATGATAGAATACCAGCCATGAGTGGAAAAAACCAACGCATGCCGCAGCGCGTGCGCATGCACACACACACACACACATGCACGCGCACACACACACAACTACAGACATAAATGACAAATCTTTAACATATCAGCAAAAGCTTCAATACTTCTTCAATAAAGGCTCTCTGAAACATACTGCCTGATCCACCTGATGGCAGGGTTAGGAAGGTTAGTGACTGAGATAGCAGAGCACTAACGGTAGGTCTGTTTGTTCAGGTTTATCCATGTTAGCAAGAATAAAAACTGCCAGTGTACAAAGTTGCTTGAGTTCACCTATTGTATGACAGTACATTTTAAAAACTTCTAATATTCTAGCTTGCTTGACATGAATTTATTTTGACTCTAGATAAGACCTCAGGTTGGGGGATATAAGCTGGGTAGTAAAACACTCTTCTAACATGCACAAGGCACTGAGTTTAGTACCCCATCCATCTCCCCCCAAAAAGGCTTCATGCAAGGTTGCATGTGAGAGGTGGTGAGAGAGAATATGAGACTATTTACCAAAATCTTCTCTGGTCCAATCATGTCTCTAATGAGGCGGCATCTACGAATGTCATCTTGGAGATCAGCCCCAACCTTTACTTTAAACCTGTAATCACATTTGGCTGGTTAGTTTAGATCCCTTTTTTTATTTTTGTGCCAGTCCTGAGGCTTGAACTCAGGCCTGGTCACTATCCCTGAGCTTTATCACACAAGACTAAAAGCTCTATCTTGAGCCATAGTTCCACTTCCAGCATTTTGGTGGATTATTGGCAATAAGAATCTCATTGACTTTCCTGCCTTGGGCTGGCTTCCAGATCTCGGCCTCCTGAGAAGCTATGATTACAGGTGTGAGTCACCATTGTCCGGATTGGCTCTGTTCTTTGACTTGGCAAAAACACCTAGCTTTTCTGAAAAAGTTGCTGTATCTGTTAATGATTCACAGACTGCCCCAGTAACCTCTTGCTCTTTCTCCTTTGATCTTTAGACAAGTCACTTGATAGTAAACCTGTGGACTGCTTGTATTTAGTTAGTTTCAAGGCAACGAAGTCTCTTACTTGCTGGAGGGATGAGGAATACAGGAATATAGGAATTTTTAACTGAGTTTAATACAGTTACCTGTGTTTTTGCTGTGTTTTAAAAAGCAACAAAAAATTAAAAGACTGCAGTCAGAAAAGCGCAGGCTTAGGGGTCAGCAAGCTGACAAGGTATGTCTGGTGTTACCCACTTATATCCTGAATCCACTGTGGTTTGTAAAGGCCTACATATAACAGGCCTTCCCACAGAGGGCTCTGTCTTCAATGAGCCTCACAGGAAGACCACTCCCAGGATGAAGGGCCTGACCTCAGGGAGAGAAGGGCCTTGGCTACATACTGAAGAGCAGCAGACTGGTGCTGGGTGCTCCCTACAGAGGACTCCTACACATATCTGGCCACTTTCTGAAAGCTCCCTAGTTAATGTACACGTCCTACAATGCCCCTGAGATATTGGCTTCTGCACATGTTCCCTGTGCACATGAAAGTGTGAGCACTGTTACCTGCAGAAGGAACAAGAGGGCTGTATATATGTGCCCCCTGTTTGCCCCCTCCTTTACCAGCCACCCCCCAGAACAATCCTTGTCAAGGCTGCACTTGAGTTAGCAGTGGCCACTGGCTGCTACTCTGCATTCCTAAACACTCAACTACTCTTCCTCACAAGCATTGGCTGTGGGACACACAGACAGATGGACACACATACACTTCACCTACTGCCTTCTCTTCCTTCTCAGCATTAAGCCCTTCCTCAAAAAATCTACACCAGGTGGGAGTTTCATCTCCTAGATGTGTGGCACTGGAAGGAGAGTAGCTAGCCACAGGCTCTGCATGCCATTCCAGGCTTCTGAGCTAGGAGGCCCATGAAGTCTTTCTGGAGCTTTTCAGATGTAACTGCTCCAGCCTCTCTAGGATTGAGGAAAGGGCAGGAAGCCAGCACTCTAAATACTTGCTTTGAACATACCCTGTACTGGTCCTTGTCAGGCATGGCAAGGAGCTACTATTAGAAACAGGAGTTACTATTATTTCCATTTCATAGAGAGAAAAAATGGGGTTCAGAGATGCTGAAGATTTGCCCAAGACCCCACAGAGAATACTGTAGGGAATGAGGGGGAAAGGCAAGATTGGATTATAATTCTATCAGAAACCAATGCCTCTTTCCTCTGCTATGTGCTGCCCCTTCATGCTCCTCAACCCTTTATGTGGCCAGAGTTAGAATTCAATGCCTAGGGCTGGGAAGGTGGCTCAGTGGTAGAGCGCTTGCCTTGCATGCCTGAGGCCCTGGGTTCGATTCCCCAGCACCACATAAGCAAAAAGAAAAAAAGCCGGAAGTGGCACTGTGGCTCAAGTGGTAGAGCGCTAGCCTTGAGCTGAAGAGCTGAGGGACAGCGCCCAGGCCCTGAGTTCAGGTCCCACTACCGGACCCCCCCCAAAAAAAAAGAATTCAATGCCTATCAATACTATGATATCCACAAACTGCTCAAAGGGTTACAATATAGACTCCAAGACAGCAGATTCAGGGATAGGTCTCAGACTCTGCACTACTGCTAAGTTCCTAGATGACAGGGACACTGATGCTTCACAGAGTGGGTTAGATGGACCAGTGGCCACCCTGATTACAAGTAAGGAAGGAAGCCTGGTGACACTAGGTCAAGACACAAGAGGATCCCTCAGAGACCTGTACTGCACCAGGATTTGGGGTCATGACCACCAACAGTACACCCAGAGGGTCTACACCTACATACAGGAGACAAGGGAGGAATGCAGGCAGTCATTCTAGACAGCACGTAGCCAGTGAGCGGGAAGGGAAGACCTGGCTTCTAGAAACTCCATGAAGAAGAATGGTAGCTAAAAGTTACAGGGAAGCAAAAGCTTCACAATACTGAAGATAAGAGCCCTTGTGCCATGGGATCCCACTCCTCACAGTCAGGTTGGCTGCCTCTGGGGTCTTGCTGAATCAATGCTTGTTACTGATCTTAAAGAAGGGGTTTCTAATTTTAAATAGTGCTTGAAGTAGAGGCTCTTCAAAGCCCCTTTCATCTGTGATGGTCGGGGATTCTAAGGAGCACTTACATGTCCTCTTGAGCCTGGCCTATGGTGAATGTCCAAGTCCCTACACACCAGATTGTTCCTGGCTTTGCTGGTGCTGTTTCACTGCTGAGTCTCATCATGCTGCTCCCTGGGAAGGTCAAGTCCATTATTACACACATAACTTACCTGGTCCAGCCATCCTTCAGTGCAGCTGCACAGAGCTGTGGGGAAAGAGTACACATCTCATCACACACATGGTCACACGCATGGAGCAACCCTAGCCTGAAGGTACCTCAGTCATTTCTGATGGGTTTCACTAACTAACATTATGGTCAAAGCATAAACCAGAGGAAACAACCATGTGTTCCTGAGAACAGAATCAGCTTAGCCAACAGACTATCACTCTTCTTTTCTCATCTCTATGGGAACCAATTTTCTCATTGTCACAACATGACTATCCCTCTTCTTAAAATATTTTTATTTATTTATTTATTGCTGGTCATGGGGCCTGAACTCTGGGCCTGGGCGCTGTCGCTCAGTTCTTCAGCTCAAGGCTAGCGCTCTACCACTTGATCCACAGCGCCACTTCTGGCTTTTCCTGCTTATGTGGTACTGAGGAATCCAACACAGGGCCTCATGCATGCAAGGCAAACACTCAACCACTGAGCCACCTCCCTAGCTTAAAATTTTTTTAAGCTAAGATTTTTTTGTGATGTCCACATAACTAATGGATGTAAAAATAACAGCAGAAACCAGTCTGTCTCAAAGGTCGAGTGCTTGCCTGGCTTGAGTGAGGCCCTCAGTCTAAAAATGCTCAATGTAGTGAAGAGTAGTAAGTGAGCCATACACTGATTGCATGCCATGAGCCAGCTGTAGTGTAATAACCTAAACTTTCATCTGAATCCTTAGAACCATCTCATGATGTGGGGTGTTACTTCCCTACTTCTCACAGGAGGAAGCCGAGGTGCTGCATGAATAAGTGACTTGGACAATACTGCATGGCTGCCTCTGCCTGAAACTCAAATACTAAGCTGTCGCCTTCCAGGGAGCAATGTGGGACTCATTAAGTCAGAACTGAGGTGGCAGGGTGTCAATGGCTACACTTCTACTCGTGTGTAAGCACTATCAGAAGGAGGCCTTGGGCCCAAATTGATATAGAGAGGCTGGTGATGAAATAGTAAATCCCAGAAAGGGAGCAATATGAAGCTGGTGCGCCATAGGGACATATATATTTGATGTACCTCCCTCCCCCTGCCACACACACACACACTCTACCTCCTCACAGTATTTCCTAGAGCATAGATCCTATAACTCTTATAATATCCTGAATCACAAGTGTCTTTTGTATTCCAAAAAGATGACCCTAAAAGGGGCCCTTTAATAGCTGATCATCAAAACCAAGCCATGATAAAGGGGTTGGAACTCTCACCCTCAGACTCTAGAGAGAGAAGAAGGGCTGAAGGTTGAGGTGATAGACAATGACAGTGAATCCCAAAGGACAGAGCTCAGAGAGCTCCAAGACTGGTGAACACGTGATGCTTGTTGGGCCTGCTCACACATTCCCCTCCATCCTACCTCCTCTACCTGGCTGTTCTGAGTTGGGTACTGGCAGCTAACACTTGTAATCCTAGCTACTCAGGAGGTTGAGATCTGAGGATCATGCTTTGAAGTCAGCCAGGGCAGAAAGGTCCCCAGAGACTCTTATCTCCCATTAATTACTCAAAAACCAGAAGTGCTGCTGTGGCTCAAAGTGGTAGAGCACTAGCCTTGAGCAAAAAGTTCTCAGGAACAGCTCAGTACCTGAGTTCAAGCCCCACAACTAACAAAAACATACACTGTAAAGGTTAAAAAAAAGTTTTCCTGGCTTCTGAAAATTTGTTTCTAGCAAATGAAGGGGATGTGTTATATGGGACCTTCTGCTTTCTAGCTGGTTGATCAACACTCTGGTCACAATTGGGACTTGCAAGACTAGATCTGATACAGGGCAGAGTGGCGATGCAGAGTCCTTACTCTATGTGGTCTTCTCTAATACCAGGGAGACAGTGTGGAAACTGACTTAAATTGCAGGGCACGTAGTTGGTAGTATGGGAAAACCCCATACATCTAAAGTGATGCACGGTAATAGTGGAGGGAGCCCTGAGTACAGAAGGAAAACCTATTTTCTTGTCTCCCTTTAGCAAAACCTGTTAGAAAGCACACCTGCTTCAGCGTGGTGTCCGAGTACCCCAGCCAGGCGCACGACGTGGTATAGGCGGGGTAACCATGTGTCAGCATTTGCTTTTCTGGAAGACATAACATTTGTCAACATCTGGCACTTTCTAGAGAACTGCGGAATTAGAATTGCCTATAGCTACATTGTGTCACACAGAATCCAGCTCTTCGCTGGGTGGCTAACATACACACTCTGTCCCTTGTCCAAGCCTCTGGAGGTGTCAAGGACAGGTGACCAGAATATTCTCTGAATGTCCCGCTCCCCAGGGCCCTGCCTTATCACAAACCCTAAAACCAAACCTCCTGTAAACAGTGACTGAAGTGCACAAGCCCACCCCCCTCCCGCAGCAGAAGTCACCCCCAAGTGGTGTCTTTACTCAGACCCACGCAGTGTGAGGTCTAGCTGCTTAGCACAGGGCATCAAGAAGCATGACGGGGTACCCATGGAAACCAGGGACCCTGAAAATTGGACACTGGTAGCACAAACATGGAAGGAACCTTTCAATTTACCCACCTCTTTCTTTTTTGCCAACTTGACCTTTCTGCAGTATTTCTGAAAAGAAGAAGAAAAAGTGTCACTTGATGCTCTCGAGCCTGTTGTGTGTGAGCCATGGTCAGTGCTAGGGAGTTTTGGCCTCCACGGCCCCCCCAGGACTCACCGTAGGCCTCCTCCTCTGTCAGCACATCAGTGATGTATCTGAAATCGATGCAGGATAGCAGCATCCGGGGATCCTGGCAGGGAGTGACAGGAGAAGAGCCTGAGTCAATTCTCAGGCAGATTATGTTTCTAAGGAGCTACTTTATGCTGATCTGTGGAGCTTATCCTTTCCAGGAAGGGCCTATGGGATTTATGCCAGATTGTTTGGTCCTGTCATTGCTTGGTGGAAGTCGTTCAGAGGCTCCTTGCTCCTGACAACATTCTGATTTTCACTCCCTATCCCTCTAGGCAGCAGTTGCCATGATCAAGCTGACCCTGCAGTGAACCAGAAGAGGATGAGAAACAAAGGTGGGAGGGGGAATGAGGCTGTTCCAGAGCACTCAATGCAAAGAAGAGAAGACTGTGCTCAGATCTGGGTCACAGCAAGCATTGGCGCTTGCAATCTGCTCTCCTGGGGAGTGGAGAAAATTCCTTTCACTGACTGATAGAACAGGAGCCCCCACCCTCCTGACTCGGGGTCGGGTCCTTATCCCTGCTCTCCCCTCCTGCCTGCTCAATGCTTTGGCCACAGAGGCCAAGTTTTTCACTGGTACCACAGACACAGGGAAATCAGGAATTTCACACCACCACCAGAACTGTGGTAGGCTGCTAGAAATTTTAAACGCTTGTTCAATCCTGAGGCTTTAGGGGTTTTGTTTGTTTGTTTTTTGTTTTTAAGTGGTTGTAGGGCTTGAACTCAGGGCCTGGGCTCTGTCTCTGAGCTCTCTTGCTCAAGGCTAGAGCTCTACCACTTTGAGCCACACCTCCAGTTCTGGTTTTTGAGTGATTAATTGGAGATAAGAGTCTCCTGGGGACTTTTCTGTCTGAGCTGGCTTTTAATGATGATTCTCAGAACTCAGCCTCCTGAGTAGCTAAGATTACAAGTGTGAGCCACCAGCACCCAGTTTTTTTGTTTTTTTTTTTGTATGCTGGATTTTGAACTCAGGGTCTTGGTAGGAAGGTATTCTACTACTTGAGCCATACCCCTAATCTTGTTTGTTTTCCTTAAGGTCCTGAGTTTTTGCCCCAAGTCAATCTTAGACCTCTGTCTTGCTACCTATGCCTCCTATTTTTGAATATCAAGAACATTTTTCCCAAGTATGCCTCAAATCACAATTATCCAAATCTCCTGCATAGCTGGGATTACAGGTGTTAGCCCTTTTACTGGTACTGAATCTACTTAAGAGATGTAGCATTGAAACAGGAAATATGAGCCAAATGATGAAAAATTCTTAGCACCTTAGCACCTTTCTGGTGGCTCATTTTGGTGGTGAACAACTGTACTTCTGTGAAAGGTTGACCTTCCCACATCCTTGTCTTTCCAACACCCCCACAACCACCCAGAGAAGTGAGAGAGAGCCCGCCTTAGAAGAAGAGCAAGGTCTCATGGCTCAACAGTCTTCAAGGCCATGTTGTCCTTGTCTTTAATGTTGCTGCCAAGGAATAAAAAGGGCCTTCATTTGTGGACCACCAGGTTTCACCCAGAAGCAGTTGCAGCTCACAGTGGGTAAGCAATTCACTTAAGGTCTCTCAGCTAGTTAGTAGTGAAAGCTAGACTCAGAGCCAAGTCAGCCTGGGTCTGCTGTTCACTTCCCTTTAACATACTCAGAGATTTTTTTTCCCCCTCTTCAGCAACCAGGTGCTCATCCCTGCCTAAAATAGGTCAAGGAGAAAGAAAACAGCCATGTGTGTATCTTTAGAATTCACTGTGAAGCTCCAGCCCTGCCGGATGCTGCACAGGGAAGGCTGCCATGGCCTCATCTTGCTTTTGGAGTCAAAGTGCTACAAGATGTCTTACTAGTAACCCTCGGCTTTTCAGACTTAATGGAGTGCTTTTCGATTTTCTTTCTTTTTTTTTTTTTTTGGGTCCGGTCGTGGGGCCTGAACTCTGGGCCTGGGCGCTGTCCCTCAGCTCTTCAACTCAAGGCTAGCACTCTACCACTTGAGCTACAGCACCACTTTCAGCACTTTGTGCTTATGTGGTGCTGAGGAATCGAACCCAGGGCCTCATGCATGCAAGGCAAGCACTCTACCACTGAGCCACCTTCCCAGCCCCAATGGAGTGCTTTTCTCACTTGGGTTTTAGGCTGATTCTGTGAGGCCCCTAGATGTCTGATGACTCTCATCTCTTAGGCAAGTTGTGGAGGCTCAGAGAATTTGCCTCACATATTGTGGGGAGGCAGGATCTGAGCTTGCTCCTTCCATTGTCCACTCAGCTTGCACGAGCATAGTTGTCAGGTGCCTCAAATAGCAGGAAAGGTACAATACTTGCCTGGCATGCGCAAGGCCCTGGTTCCATCTACCCCCCAAAAGAAATTATTATATTTTATTGTATTTTTTTTTTAGTTTTTCTCTGGTGCTGGGGCTCAAACTCAGGGCCTTGGCACTTGCCCTGAGCTTATTTGCTCATGGCTAGCACTTTACCACTTGAGCCATAGCTCCTCTTCTGGTGATTAACTAGAAGTAAGAATCTCACAGACTTTCTTGCCCAAGCTGGTTTCAAACTATGATCCTCAGATTCCAGCTTCCTAAGTAGCTAGGATTACAGGCATGACCACAGAAACCTGGTGGTTTTGTTTTGTTTTGTTTTTTCTCTAAATCATCATCAAAAGGTAAATTATGAAATGCATTTCATTTAGAAACAATTATAACATTAAAGATGACTTACCATGTCCACAAGTAACTTCCACAGAGGCTTGAAGATAAAAAAAAACATGGTTAATGAGACGTTGGATAAAGCACCATTTTAAGCACCATTTAAAGCACTGGTGGCAAACTCCTGCTGGTGTCTGATCATTCAGCCACCCAACCTCAGTGCTGCCTCCTCCCTCCTTATCCTTTACCCTGTTGTCCTTCTCCTTCACCTTCAGCCCTTTCTAAACTAATTCCTAACAACTAATAGTATCTTCAGGGAAGAAAAGAGTCAAAACAAATCTCTGTTTCCTTTTGGGGACCTGTGGTGCATGGTCTCTGGTCTTCAGAGGGCCACTCAGAGCCAGTCACGTGTCCTGTGTCATGGCGCCACGGGCATGTTTCTCAGATGAGTTACCTTTCCCTCCTGCTTGGCCCAAAGGTCCCACACTGCATTCAAAATGGCTGCTGTGGCCAGGTGTACCACACCTTTCTCTGGACCAATCTGATTGGAAAGCAAAATACAACATCATGTCTTAGATGTAAGGGGAAAACTTAGAGGTCTTTTAGCCAGGACATAGTTTATGAATTTAAAGGTGGGAGTAGAGATTCAAGGAGAAAGAAAAGAAAAGCCAAGAAAAGAAAGAAAGAAAGAAAAGAAGGAAGGAAGGAAGGAAGGAAAGAAAGAGAGGGGAAAGAGGGAGGGGGAGTGAGGAAGGGGGACGGAGGAAGGGAGGGAAGGAAAGAAAGGAAAGAAAGGAAGAAAGACAGCTCTAACCTATATACCATTACAAAAGTAGGAAAAAACAAAAGCAAAAAAAATTCCCAATAACCACTCTTCTCTCCATGTGTGCATGCCTTTGACAGCAAAGTTGCAGCTAGAATCTTATTTATAAATATGTCTATGTGTAGTTTCTAAGGACAAAGCATTCTCCTACATAACCATAGTAGAAAGGGAATGTCATACTAATGAACACCATTATCTAGATAATCCTTAGTCAAATATCAACCAATTTCCTCAATAATGTGTTTTATTTTTCCTTGATCTATATCTAATCCAGAACTCTATTACATTTAATTGTCATGTTGCTTTAATCTTTTTATGTAAAATAAGTTGTTTTCTTTCAATAATATTGACATTTTAAGGAATATGGACCAGTTGACATGTTTAGCACCCTTCAATATGAGCTGTTCTATGGTTCCTTTAAGATTAGATTCAGTTTGGGTGCCAGTGGCTCACACCTGTACTCCCAGACTCTCAGGAGGTTGAGATCTAAGGATCTCAGTTCAAAGTCAGCCCTGGAAGGGAAGTCCATGGGACTATTATATCCAATTAACCACCAAAAAGATGGAAGCAGAGCTGTGAGTCAAGTGGCAGAGCACTAGCCTTTGTCAAAAAGCTAAGGGACAGCATTCAGCCCTAGTACCAGTAAATATACTCAAGAAAGACAAGATTCGAGTTCTACATGTTTTGGCATAAATACTGCTAAGTGGTGGTGTCATTTTGTTTTATTATTGGGTTATGATACCCTTTGTGTTAGTGTCTACTTGGTTTTCCACTGTGAGGTTACGATTTTTCCTCAAGTAAGGAGATTACTATTGTCCCCCCAAGTTTAGCATCCATGATGACTCAATTAACAACAGCTATGATGGCTGCAATGCAGTGATTCCTACACCACCATTTGTCTTATATTCATTTGTTTAATTTGTATGTCACTGTAATGATGGGCTTTTCCTGATTCATAATCTGAATGGATTTTGTGGATTCTTTTTTTTTGGGGGGGGGGTCCGGTCATGGGGCCTGATCTCTGGGCCTGGGCGCTGTCCTGCAGCTCTTCAGCTCAAGGCTAGCATTCTACCACTTGAACCACAGCACCACTTCCAGCTTTTTTCTTTTTGCTTATGTGGTGCTGAGGAATCGAACCCAGGGCCTCATGCATGCAAGGCAAGCACTCTACCACTGAGCCACCTTCCCAGCCCTGTGGATTCTTATTTAGCTCAGCAGATTACAAGCCATTCCTATCATATTTGTTCTAATGCTCAAATTGTCACAGATTCAGCCAGTGAGAATTTTTTCAAGGTTACATTTTTCAAGGTAAGGCAAGTTGACTTTGTCTTCAATAAAGACAATATGGAAAGTATATTCTCTTGTGCCTGTCTGTGCATGGCGGGGAAGTAGGGGTAGGAAAAAGATCTGTCATCAGGGGACAAGGACAAAGCTAAATTGCTGAGCTCAACTGTGTTTGAATCTTTCTCTACAACTGTACTTCTTTAGGCTTAGACTTTATGTTTTAGATTCTGACTTTTAACAGTGGCATTCCCTGCCAAAGTTTCATGTGTTAAAACATCCGCCACCAGCCTGTGGAGCTATTGGTGGATGGTGGAAACACTGGGAGGTAAAGCCTAGTAGAAGGAAGTTATATCATTGGGGATGTGTCCGTCAAGGGGACATTGGAACTCTGGCCCCTTCCCCATCTCTTTGTTTCCTATTAGTCAAGGCCATTTATGCCACATGCTCCAACTACCATGATGTTCTGCCTCACCACTAGCCCAAAGTAATACGTCCAATCAACAATGGCTTGAATCCTCTAAAACTATGAGCCAAAATAAATCTTTCCTTCTTTGAAGTAGATTTTCTCAGGTATTTTGTCACAGAAATGGAAAATCAGCTAATAGATTGGCCTATATACAAAAAGGTACCATGGTCTTCTGCCTTTCTAACTTTGCTCTTCTCTTTCTTTCCTTAATGACTCCTCCCCTAAAGATAACATGATTCAGGTTCTCTCTTCAGAGAAGGTTGCCCATCTAGCCCTTTATCCTCTAGATCATGTTTTCCAAGCCTGGGTGTGGGAGATGAAGTGTGCAAGGATCCAAATGCATACAGAAAAGAACAGATTACTTCAAAACATTGATGCGCTAAATACCTCAAGCCCTAATGTATGTGAGTGAAGTATTTTATTTTAAAATTGTAAACCCATCTCTAGTTTCACATTTGTGGCAATCAAAGGACATTTTAGGGTTAAAGTAACATTATTCATAAAGTCTTTTTACAAAAGAGGTTCCTTACCCATCTGAGTTGCCCATCACTGGTCAGCTGCCGGTAGAAGCTTCTGAAGTCCCCAACAATGTCCCTGAGATCTTTGTGAAGCACATGGTGGGTCAGGGCATTCACAGCACAGACAACTATTAAAGAAGAATTTCATCTATGTTCATGTTATAATATACAGACAAGACATGAAACTACCACAAGCAGTGTAGACATTTCATGGATAAGCCTTAGTTACAAAAAATGTACATGCTTTGTAAAATTACTCTAAATACATCTTCTTTCATTTCACAACTAATATTCCACAATGGGAACAGTCCAATGGGAGCTAGATTTCCTGAATAGAGCAAATACATTTTGTTTGCTTGTCATGTGGAAAACTATAGATCTTTAAGTTTACATGGTTCCAAATTATTTTCCTATTCTCTGAGGAAAAGGTGTTCAGACTATGAAATTCAAAGCCAGTCCTTGCTAGTTCAATATTTCTACAGAATAGAAACATATAGAATTAAAATTAAGAAGAAGATGGTGCCCGTGGCTCACGTCTGTAATCCTAACTACTCAGGAGGCTGAGATCTGAGGATAGCAGTTCAAAGCCAGCCTAAACAAGAAAGTCTGTGAAGCTCTTATCTTCAATTAACCAACAGAAAACTGGAATCAGTGCTATGACTCAAAGTAGTAGAGCCCTAGCCTTAAGCTGAAGAGCTCAGGGACAAAGCCCAGGCCCAGAGTTCAAGCTCCATGAGTGAAAAAAAAAGAAAAAGAAAAAGAAATATTATTGACTATTATCATTAAGCTCTTACTAGCATTAGTAAAATTACATAAGTTATACTTTGAAAAAATGGCAGGTGCATAAGACTGAGTTCAAGCCCCACAACAGAACAAAAAGTAAATAAATAATAAGAAATACCTTTTCATTATGGACAACTATAGAAAATACCTGAGTATATAATATAACACACTACTGAAGATTAAATGAAGCTGAGTGTGGTGATGTATACCTGTAATTTACCCCAGCACTAGCAAGGCTGGGACAGCATAAACTGCATACATAGGCAAGAGACCTTCCCACCCCTTCCAGAAAAAGATTAAATAAAATTTATTTTCAATTAGCATATTATATATGCAATGTTAACATACAGAAAACACCATTTTCATAAACATTTAGTAAGTAGTTTGAAGGATAAACTTAATTTGCCCTAGAATTGCCATTAATTATTTAATTTTGGTGCTTTAAAGGGATTCATTGTTTAGTCATTTAAAATGATTAATTATTTAAGATGTAGAGGGATTGGGGATATAACACAGTAATTGAAACCTATCTAGCATGTATGAGACCCTTGGTTTGATACTTAGCAGGGAATGATGGAAAACATTAAGTAATAAATTATAAGCAAAAGACCTTCTATCCTTTGCACATTCTAGGAAACAGCACATGCGCCAATGACCAAAATAATAAAATCATCACTTAACCCAAGGCAATCAATTTACTGTAAAATATCTGATCACTTATTTGTACCAATTTAATAGTACAAATCTTTTTTTGGGGGGGGTCCGGTCGTGGGGCCTGAACTCTGGGCCTGGGCGCTGTCCCTCAGCTCTTCAGCTCAAGGCTAGCACTCTATCACTGGAGCCACAGCGCCACTTCCGGCTTTTTTCTTTTTGCTTATGGGGTGCTGAGAAATCCAACCCAGGGCCTCAGGCATACAAGGCAAGTGCTCTACCACTGAGCCACCTTCCCAGCCCAATAGTACAAATCTTTAGGTCACTTACTAAGCTCGTTATGGGGCACACTCAGATCCTATGGGGTCAACGTTCTTAAAGTAGCCTCACATGCTCCTAGCATGTGCCTAGCCTCTGAGACAGCTCCTGATGACCAAATGCTCGTGGTCGGGTGTAAGATTTAGGGCGGAAGGAGCCATTCCAGGTTCTCTGGGGGTTTGTTGATGGAATACACTATCATTCCCGATCAGAGAGTCACTCCTCCTGTAATTTACCCCTCAGATTGTGAGAACACAGAATTAGTTTTGTTTCTTGATGGCTGATGTTCTTGGGGTTAAAAACAAGCTGATAAGCACATCAAATGACTCAGGGTGAGGTATTAGAGCATTGATCTATCATTATCTATATCTAACTTGTCCTCATGACTTTGATTGTTGCTGTAAGCCACTGATTATGCAGGCTGTGGGTTGCATCACAATAGAAAATGTCTCTAACAAAAGCTAAGAATGACCTCACTTTTCATGGCTCTAAGGAGATAAATTATCTGTAGCCTGTGTGTTTTCCTTGCTCAACATGAGGGCACTACAAGAAGTTAACTAAAATTTGCTACACCCATAGAAATTTGGATTGCAGTATCTGACCCCAAAGTAGAACAATTTAGGTTTTTCATCTTTTATGGGATGGGTGCAGATTTAGCTGGAGAAAACTGGCCCTGAAAGGCAGCTGGCTTACTGATTTAACTTAGGGTTTTCTCCTGACTGAGGCCCCTGCCTCCATCTCCCTGCCCCTCCTCTCCCCCCTCCCGCCCCCCGCCCGGTACCCTCTCCCCCAAGGCCTGGTTGAACATTCAGGAAGACTTATGGATGACCTTAGAGATTGGAACCCAGGTAGTGACATGAACCTTTATGACTATATATTCCTCCAGTTAATGTTACTTCTTTTTCTTTTTTCCTTTTTCCCCCCCTTGGTAAACTAGCTTAGCTTACATTATAAATGACATTTCACATTTGTCTAAACTCATACACTATACAATACCAAGAGTGAATTCCAATGTTCACTGTGGACTTAGAGTGACCATGATGCACACAAGAGTCTGCTGACTGTCACAACTGTACCAGCCACTCTGGCATAGGGTGATGATCGTAGTCAGGCAAGCTGGGGGGCATCGATAGCTCAATTTTGCTGTGAACTTAAAACTGCTCTACAAAGATGAAGACATTTAAAATACTTAAAAAGCAGGAGAAAATGAATAATTAAGCGAATAAAAATATTTGGGAAAAAAATGAAAAATGACATAGGTATACTATGTGCACTAGAAAAGTCTTCCCTTCCTATCTTTCTCTCACACTCAGCACTCACTTTATGGTAGTGAAGCGTTCTCTCTCTCTCTCTCTGATCTCTCTTATCTCCGTCTCCTCCTGATGAGGAAAATAGGCTGATAAAGGGTGCAGACCCAGATGAGATAACAGAATTTCCCACCTTTGGCGTGAGTACCATGTAATGGTTAGTGAAATGGTGGTGACTCATTAAACATGTAGCAAGGTCAAAGTTAAAATGGACCTGTCACATTGTGGTCTGGAAAAGGCAGTAGGCAACATTATTAGCACAAAAGAAGCTCATATTAAAGTCATTAAGAGCTGGGAGTTGATTTGCCCCTACCCATTTATCACGACTGAGGTTGGGGGAAAGAGGGGATCCTAAACACTAGCTCAGCTCATCCCACAAGACCCACTCAACCCCAGAGCAGGTCCCTCCGGTGGGCACCCAAGTACACAAAGCTCAAATTTGGCTGTTAGCGGTGATTCCAATGGTTTGTCTAATGCTTTGTAAACTCATTGCATGGTTTATGAAACCTTTGGGGGCCATGCTATATGGTTTGTGGTATGGAGAAAAGCATAGCAGCTTCCTAAAGTGCTCAATATCTAGCCAGGGGTAATTAGAGTCGCAGAGATGCTGAAACAGCTCTCAAATATACCTCAGCCAGCCATTACTACCTTGGCTTTTACAGGAAATCATCCACTTGGCTGTGGGGTGGGGGAAGGGAAGAGACTGACTCTTGCCTGCTCTCCTCTGGGGGCCTGTCCTGTGCCTTCTCTGGAGGGAGGCAGTCGCTCTCTCTCTAACTTGAACAAGCTAACAATAGGAATTCTCACAGTGTTCTGTAACTCTGCCTTCTATGTCTGTTTCACTAATCAGTTTCTATGCTCCTTGTAGGTAGAATTCTTGTTTTCATCATACCTCTTCCTTTTAAAAATGCCTTCTCCAGTGCCCAGCAGGGAGCTGGATATCTCGCAGCTCTTAAGGCAAGTCTGTAGAAGATTGACTAACTCTCTGGACTGATGTAAATGACCTCCTGGATGGCCAGGGAGAAGCTGTAGTGGTGGTGTGCGCACGCGCGCGCGCACACACACACACACACACACACACACACACACACTGGTATTCAACTTTACTTCTACCAGTCCTTGGCTCCTAGCACTCTACCACTTGAGTGACAGCCACACTTCTGGCTTTTTGTTGGTGAACTAGAAATAAGAGTTTCTTGAATATTCCTGCCAGAGCTGGCTTTGAACTGCAATCCTCAGATCTCAGCCTCCTGAGTAGCTAGGATTACAGGCCAGAACCACCAGTGCCCAGCCTCTCACTCATCTTTTATCTTCTTAACAATATTAAAACCTTCCCTACAACAAGACTTTATCTCCAGTTAGCTGGAGGGTGGACAATGAACATATACATATGCCCCACATACATAGTAGAGAAGCTGTATTCCCCTTCCCTGGACTTTACTCTTCAATCTGGCACAACTCAGCTTCAGTCCCTAATGATGCACTGAGGGTGATCTGACAAGGGTCACTTTTTATACTTCTTACTCCAATTATAGTTTATTTACTTTTAAAATTATTTTTATATATAATTTCATTGTTATTATTAAAGTGTTGTACAGAGGGGTTACCCTTTAATAAATCAGGTAACGAGTATCTTTCTTCTTTCTTTCTTTCCTTTCTTTTATTTTTTTGGTCAGTTGTGGGGCCTGAACTCTGGGCCTGGGTGCTGTTCTTCAGCTCTTCAACTCAAGGCTAGTGCTCTATCTTTTGAGCCACAGGGCCTCTTCTGGGTTTTCTGCTTATGTGGAGCTGAAGAATCGAACCCAAGGCCTCATGGATGCTAGGTAAGCAGTCTACCACTGAGCCACCTTTCCAGCCCTTTTTATACTTCTTGAATTGTGAATCGTGTATATGGATTACATACATAGTGACAGCTACATTTAAATGATCCAGACACTAAGTGCTCCTGCTCCTGTCATCCTGGTGGTTGGCTGGGGTTTATTTCCCCATATCACCATGGAGATCCTATCCAGCTCTGAGAAGCATTCCATTCTGCTCAGGGTCATCAGGTTAGGAAAATTCAAAGGAGTGTCTATACACAGCTCAATGTGCACCCCCAAAGAATCTGCTCTTGAAATGAACATGCTGTGAAACAACTTGTGAACCAAGTAGACTCAGCATACATCACAATGAGCCTTGCTGCCTGAACTCACTGCCTCCCTCTCCTCAGCCTTGGTCACCTACTGGCTCCAGGCACTCAAGGCTCTGTGTAGCCATGAGTTAAGAGAAGGTGAGTAACATGCTGGCAGTTATCATCTGACACAGAAATGGATCCAGAGTGAAGGAGTCTCCAGCAGTCTATACGTGGCTTCAAGAAGAGTGGCTAAGGACCACTGCATTTTAACTTCGCCTAGCAAAGCTACTAACAAGGTAATGTGTTTACTCCGTGAGCAGTGCAAATACAGAGAAAAATATGGGGAACTGAAGCACCATGGCTCCTCAAGAGACTCAACTCACCAACTTCGGTGCCCTTCCCTAGAGTGAAGGTAATGCCACAGCCCTGGAGTCCATCTTCTGAGTCAGTTTCTATGACAACATAGGCCGCTGAGTAATCAGGATCAGTGTGCTGCAGGAATGTGGAAGCCAAGAGTACCATGAGAATGACACATAAGAATAGAAAATGCAACCAGGTGCTGGTGGCTCCCAGCTATAATCCTAGCTATTCAGGAGGCTGAGATCTGAGCATCGCAGATTGAAGCCAGCCCAAGCAGAAAGGCTCATGTCACTATTGTCTTCAATGAACCAACAAAAAGCTAGACGTGGAGGTGTGGATCAAGTGGAAAAGGGAAAAAGCTACAGGAGAAGGCCCAGGCAGGCCCTGTGTTCAAGCCCCAGTACTGGCATAAAAAACAAGGACTATTTTATTATAAATTTTAAAAAAAGATTAGAAATTATAATGAGGGATATATAAGAAGGGCCCAATCATATGTGATGGTGTAAACCAGAGTCAATCAGGGAAAGTGCTCTTGAAGGTTCACATGGGTTTTACAAGTACAGTGTACCTATTTGGGCATGGGATGGGATTGAACCCAGGACCCGGTGCATACTAAGCTCAAACTCTACCACTGAGCTTCACTTCAAGCCCTAAAGGTATTTTTTATTTTTAAATGAGGAAAGATTTTTTTGGGGGGTCCGGTTGTGGGGCCTGAACTCTGGGCCTGGGCGCTGTCCCTCAGCTCTTCAGCTCAAGGCTAGCGCTCTACCACTTGAGCCACAGCGCCACTTCCAGTCCTGAGCATCTCTTGTTTTTTAACAAGGTCAGTAAGAAACCATAACAAGAAGGCCAAATATGGCAGTCCGTGCCTATAATTCCAGCTACTTGGGAGGCAAAATTCCATCTTGGTTTAAAGCTAGCTCAGGAGAAAAGTTAGAACACTCCCCATGTCAACAACCAAGTTAGGCACAGTGGTTCACCCTGTAATCCCATCTACACAGAAGGCATAGTAGGTAGTTTGTGATCCAGGGCAAGTCCAGGCAAAAAAGAACAAAGAAAGAAAGAAAGGAAAAAGGAAGAAAGAAAGGAAAGAAAGGAGAGAAAGAAAGGAAAGAAGGAAGAAAATAGAGAGACCTTATCTGAAAAATAAGTAATGTGCAAAAAGAGCTTGGTAGAATGGCTGCTTTGCAAATGCCACTACCTCCAAATGGAAAAAAAAATTCATCACAAGAAGCTTTAAGAGACTATAAAGTCAGTTTCAGGGCTTTTTCCCGAGGAAATGTTCTACTTCTCATCAGAAAAGTTCATTTTCCTGCTGACTACTGCGAAGTAGGGAAGTGCTGAGCTCAGCACTCCCTGCAGGGGAATGAAGCCATCCATGTGGAAAACTGCCAGGTGGCATTCTACAACAAAGGCCCAGAGAATCAGTACACCACACTCACCTCTTTCCTGGATGCATGTTCAAGTGTTTATGAGCTTGCAACATAGCAATCAGATAATGTCCCTTCACCCAGAGTTTATACACTATTCACGCAGGTCCAGAAACACATTCTATCTCTTAAACTTGACTACCATAAACCTATGTTAATACCTGACAAATTCAATCAAGTTCTGCTCAGTCTGTCCTGCTTCAATGTCATTAAATACAAGGAGTAACGGTGGCCAGGACTTGCCCTCTTGTTTTGGGAGTATTTTCCGTGTTGGGTTCTACTGAGGCACCTCATTCCTGGGTATGAAGTGGATACCAATATCCCAGGGTACAGATGAGAAAACCAAGCTTGCTAAAGCTCACAGGGACGAAGGCAGTTGTTCTTAGAGCTTTGGATTTGTACAAGTTGGTAAAATTTGAAACAGTTATTTGGAAATCCACAAAGAATTGTAAAGGGATTTTTTTAAAAAAGCCATTTGCCATAAAATAAGAAAGGATACTTAGAGTTTTTTTCAATGCAGGATAAACCTGGACACTAGTATCTCTCATTTCTAACCTTAGCTACCTAGGGAATAAAAATGGGAAAGTCATTGTTTGAGATCAGTCAAGAAAACCTTATGTAATCCCTTCTCAATCCATAGCTGGGTACAGTATGTGAGCTTGTTGTCCTAGGTTTTTTTTTGGGGGGGTTGGTCATGGGGCCTGAACTCTGGGCCTGGGCACTGTCCCTCAGCTCTTCAGATCAAGGCTAGTGCTCTACCACTTGAGCCACAGAGTCACTTCTGGCTTTTTTCTGCTTTTATGGTGCTGAGGAATCAAACCCAGGGCCTCATACATGCAAGGCAAGCACTCTTCCACTGAGCCCCCTTCCCAGCCCCTATTGTCCTAGTTTTATGGGGCCAGGATTAGGAGAATTACAGTTCTAGGTCAGTCTGGAGAGAAAAGCTGGAGAGATTCCATCTCAACAGAAGGTTCTAGGTGTGGTGGCTCACACCTGTCATCCTAGCTAAGATGGGAAGCAAAAATTGGAAGCACTCACCTAGGCAAGAAGGGAGACTCATCTCAAAAGAATAACCAGTGTACAAGGTTCATCCCTGTAATCTGAGCTACTCAGGAATCTGAGATCTGAGAATCATGATTCAAAGTCATCCAAGGAAGAAAAATCTGAGAGACTATCTCCAATCCAGCAAAAAAGCCAGACTGGAGTCCTGGCTCAAGAGGTTGAGCGTCAGACTTGAACAAAAAAAAAGTCTGAACAAGAGCATAAGACCCTAAGTTTAAGTCCTGGTACCACTACCACAAAAAGAAAAAAAAAAGCCCCCCCCCACACAGCCTGGAGGGAGCCCCTGCTTTGTAAGTGACTTTGAGTCCAAACTCCAACACTGTTAAAAGAAGAAGAAAAAAAAGGGGAGGCGGGGGAGGAATGGGAAGAGGGATGGGCTCAAGTAGTAGAATGCCAGGTCCTGGGTTCAATTCTTCAGTAACACATGTGTGACACACACACACATGCACGTTTGCACACACACACAGACACACACAGAGAAAGTTAATTTTAGACTAAAAGACATTATTTTGCATTTAATAACTTCAGCATGGGGCTGGGAAGGTGGTTCAGTGGTAGAGTGCTTGCCTTGCATGCACGAGGCCCTGGGTTTGATTCCTCAGCACCACATAAGCAAAAAGAAAAAAGCCAGAAGTGGCACTGTGGCTCAAGTGGTAGAGCGCTAGCCTTGATCTGAAGAGCTGAGGGACAGCGCCCAGGCCCAGAGTTCAGGCCCCACGACTGGACCCCCCCTCCAAAAAAAAAATAACTTCAGCATATTCTCAGAGAGGTCTATCTCATATAAAAAAATTTCAGGTTTATCAGGAAGCATAAAGAATTGTAATGAACACCAGTTAGCTTTCTAGCCAGTTTTGGAAGTAAAAGCTTATGTTGTGAATTAAGAGTCCCTGGCAACCTTCCTCCATTCCTTCCATACACCCACTGCATTTGAAAGTAACTTTTCTAGGGTAGCTGTGTCACTGGTGGGGGAGAGTAAGGATCCGCACCAAGGAGTACCCTGCTGTGCTCATAGATCTAGGAAGCACTGCTTTACACAGTTGGGGAGACAATTGAGGAAGGGTGGGAAAGGGCGCCCCTCTAACATTCTTGGATTCCATTTCTGGCTAAACACACACACACACACACACACGCACACACACACACGTGGCTGACGTGTTTCTGTCTCTGTCTCTCCCTCCATCCCTCTCTGTTAAATGCACCAGGTTTTGAACTTGGGGCCTTGCATTTGCTTGGCAGGCCTTTGCTAGTCAGGCGCTCTAGCACTTGGGCCGCAACCCCAGCCCCAAGGGCCTAACTCTTGACGGTGGCAAATCCTTTCCAACATGCTGGTGGACACAGGAGCTTCGTGTGAGCGCCCTCTCTACCACTCAGTCGTTAGGTACTTGTTTTCCCATTTCACAGATGGACCCTAGAGGCCCAGAGAGCAGGGGTCTTCCTGAAGACACACAGCAGGGCCACCCCCACTGAGGACGCCCTCAGATCCGCGCCAGGGAGCAGCCAGGGCGGCGTTCGAGGTCACAGGGAGTAGCGCTGGGCAAAGCCCACCTGTGGCACAGTGTGCCTTCCATCCTTTCCAGGAAGCCAGGCCCCGTCCGTGCGGGCAGTGCGGAGCTTCGGCTGTGCACCTCCTGCGGGACACTCTGCGGGTGAACCGCCCCCCGCGGGCCTGAGCGTCCGCAGGCGGGGACCCCGGGGGGGGCGGTGGCTGGTCAGTGCTTACCATGGCGTCCGAGCCGTGGCCGCCCAGCGACGTGGGGAAGCGCACGTCGCGGACGGAGAGCCGGGAGATCCTGCCGTGCACCATGTCGTCAGCCGCGCGCACTCGGGGGCAGGGGCCGGGGGGGGGGGGTCCCCAGATCTCTGCTACCCGAGGACGGAGGGGCGGGGCCACCTGTGGGTGGGGCGGCGCGCGGCGGGCGATGATTGGGCGTGCCGCGGAGGGGGCGGGGCCGAGGCCCGGACTCGGTCTTGCTGGGGCGGCCGGCCGTGGTCTGAGCTCTGCCCCTTCCTTCACGGCTCGCGGGCACCGAGCTGCTGGCCGTGGGTCCAACCAGGGTCGTAGTGGACGCTGGACAAGAGTGAGGCACCACGTGCAGTCTGCTCACTTAGAGTCCTATTTGCCTGCTCAGGGTCTGAAGGCCTGCCAGTCTTCCTTTACGTCTTTTTCTTCCTTTTTCTCTTTTCATCTTTCCTTCTTTCCTTCCTCCCTCCCCCCCTTTTCCTCTTCCTTCTTCGACTCAGGGCTAGGCAGGCTCTCTGCTGCAAAGCAAGCCTCTATTCCACTTCCACAGATTACTTTTGAGATAGGGTCTCAGTTGCTTTCCTTGTGCACTTGTCTTTCCCATCTTTTCTATGACATAAAGCACATCCCATTTCTGCTGAGATGGAGTCTTGTGGACTTTTCTGCTTGAGCTGGCTTGGAAGCCCAGACCCCCTTCTACCAAGTAGCTAACTTTATAGGCGTAAAGCACTAAGTGCCAGAGTTTATTTATTTTTGTAACACAAATTATGTATACCTTTAAGCAGTAACTGCTGTAAAACCCTCTGTCAATTACCTGCTCTTCATATATTACCTGTATAATTTTAATTATTTATTGCCCTCGGAGGACTGGCCTATAGGTGTGGCTTTTTTCTATTTTTTGGGTCCGGTCATGGGGCCTGAACTCTGGGCCTGGGCACTGTCCCTCAGATCTTTAGCTCAAGGCTAGGGCGCTACCACTTGAGCCACAGGACCACCTCTGGCTTTTTTCTTTTTGCTTATATGGTGCTGGGGAATTGAACCCAGGGCCTCATGCATGCAAGGCAAGCGGTCTACCACTGAGCCACCTTCCCAGCCCAGGTGTGGCTTTTTTCTAGAGTTTTCATTAATATCATCATTGTTAGATGCAGTTCTGTAAGTCAGGTTGTGAGTACAGTGCTTCTTGATCAATGTCACTGCTTCTGTTGTTCCATACAATCCTCCTCCTATGCCTGCTTCAAGTAAATAGTTCAGCTTTTACATAGGTGCATGGATTATAATGACTGCATTTGTAGAAGTTTACTTCTAACATGAAGTTTTAGTTGATCACTGATGAGGAGCGTCTAAAGGTCCTCTTGGACTAGATAATATCAGTAGCGTGGTATAGAGTCCCGATTACCATTTACCAAACTTTCCAACAACTCTAAGGTAAGCAAAGGTTTCTAATCCATTTTACAGTTAACAAAAGAAAGATCCAAAAGTGTGAAATGTAGTCATCAAAAATGTGGGTTGCAAATCAAAGAAAGGTTGGACAAATGGGATTGCATAAAGTTGCAGAGCTTCTGCAGGGCAAATGACATAGCTAGCAAGATCAATAGAAAGCCCACGGATTGGGAGAAGATCTTTACTAGCCATACAACGGACAAGGGTCTCATATCTAAAATATACTTGGAACTCAAAAAATTAAACCCCACAACAACAAATCCTCAAAGAAACAACTGCCCAATAAGTAAATGGGCGAAAGACTTAAAGAGAAACTTCTCTGAAGAAGAAAGAAGGATGGCCAATAAACACATGAAGAAATGTTCAACATCCCTAGCCATAAAAGAAATGCAAATCAAAACAACATTGAGATATCACCTCACCCCAGTTAGAAAGGCAAAAATCAAGAACTCTAACAACAACAGATGCTGGAGGGGATGTGGACAGAAAGGAACCTTACTTCATTGTTGGTGGGAATGTAAACTTGTTCAACCACTTTGGAAAGCAGTATGGAGGTTCCTCAAAAGACTTCACATAGAACTCCCCTATGACCCAGCAATCCCACTTTTGGGCATTTACCCAAATGTTTACAAACAAGACCACACTAAAGCTACCAGCACAACTATGTTTATTGCAGCATTATTTACCATAGCTAAGATATGGAACCAACCCAGATGCCCCTCAGTAGATGAATGGATCAAGAAAATGTGGTTTATATACACAATGGAATTCTATGCCTCCATCAGAAAGAATGACATTGCCCCATTTGTTAGGAAATGGAAAAACTTGGAAAAAAATTATATTAAGTGAAGTAAGCCAGGCCCAAAGAAACATAGGTCCCATGGGTTCCCTTATTTGCAATATCTAGTATATCTATGAGTCAAGCGGAAAAGGTCAGATAATGTGATGTCAGGAAAATGAACCCTTAGATATGTATCTTAATGTTTTTTTCTTTCATGCATGTGTTTCTAATGCACTTATAAGATTATCTCTTTGTTGCTTTGTATGTCCCTCCCCCACAGTATAACCCCTGCTTTCACTATATTTAATGTCAGTATAACTTGAGGAGGAGATGGGGAAAAACCAGTTGTTTAAAGATACAGGTGGACCTGTTGCAACAATGAGAAGTACAAGTTGTCATGTCCAAAACGAGCTTTACAACGTTGGTGGGGGGGGGAAGGGAGGGAAGGAGAAAGATTGGGATTGGGGGGGAAGGGGGAGGCTGGGAAGGGATGTGAAGGGTAAACAAAAGGAGGAGGCTGCAATGCTTGGTAAGAAATGTACGCATTATCCTGCCCATGTAACTGTAACCCCTCTGTACAGTATCTTCACAAATAAAAAACAACAACAAAAAAACCACAATAAGTAAAAAAAAATGTGGGTTGCAAATTCTAGGGCAACAACTTAGAGTGGGAAAGAGAAGTATAGTTGATACAAAAAAGAAAATACAATAATAAAACCTGCAGTTTAAAACCACAAAAGCAGTAAGGGTATAAGACAAAAATAGGCGCAAAGGTATGTTCTTTCTGGTATGCAGGTTAGATCTAAAATGCACTGAGATATGGCAAATTATACAGGATTCTACATACAGTGAGACAAAAAGGATACTTAGAAGAGAATCATAAAGACACAATGCCCATGTGCCTCTTCATTTTTATATGAAATAATATACATACTAGAATGAACTCCAAGATATGGAAACAAGTCTTTTTTCTCATTTTTCTTTTTTTGGTTTTTAGTTTTTGATGATTCTGTCTTCTTTACCATATATAGTATATTCACATGTATATTTTGGGGAAGGTGGGGGGAAGGCACAGAACTTGAGGAAAAGAGGGTGAACAGCAGTGGAGCTCAATGGACACTGATGAAAGTGAACTATAGAACTTATGGTAGAGACAAGAGGGAGGGACTGGGAGAGAATGAGGGAACAGATGTCACTGTATCAAAGGAAATGTACTGGGCTGGGAAGGTGGCTCAGTGCTACAGCGCTTGCCTTGCATGCATGGGACCCTGCGTTCGATTCCTCAGCACCACATAAGCAAAGCTGGAAGTGGCACTGTGGCGCAAGTGGTGGAGCACTAGCTTTGAGCTGAAGAGCTGAGGGACAGCACCCACGCCCAGAGTTCAGGCCCCACAACTGGACCCCCCCCAAAAAAAAGAAAGGAAATGTACTCATTACCTGACTGATGTAAATGTAGCCCCTCGGTACATCACTCTATAATTTACAATAAAGTAAATTTAAAAAATAGGCACAAAGAACAAGGAAAACCAACAGTAACAAAAATGCTATATAGTAATCCAGCAGTGCCAATCACTGGGAATGTTAGTGATCTAAATGCACCAATTTAAAAAGAGGCCCAAGAAAAGAAGGCATAGTGCTATGATGTTGATGTGAAAAATGGCAAATTTAGATTAAAATTGGATGGTGGTGTGAATGTATCCCCCTTCATTCCTATGCTGCAACTTCATCACCAATGTGATGGTGTTAAAAGCTGAAATTGGGAGATGGTTAAGACCTGAGTGTTCTGCCTTCACTGGTAGAGTGGGACTAGTAACCTTATGAAAGGGCCGGAGGGAAGAGCATCCATCTTTTTCCTCTATGTGAAGGCACAGCTTTCAAGAAGCTATCTTGAAAATAGAGACCAGGGTACTTATTGCCCAGATACTGAATTGGCCAGGGTCTGATGAACTTCCTAGCTTCCAGAACTGTGAGGAAGTACATTTCTGTTCTTTTTAAGTTATCTAATCATAGTACTTTGTTATAACAGCATGGACAGGTTGAGACAGTTACATAAAGGTATACCATATTGTTACTGAATGGTGTCTACTGGATTGGGACCACAAAGTTCTTGGTCTCTTCAAGAATTGAAGGACAGAGACAAGGGGCTTAACCCGGAATAGTGTTATTAATACAAGTAAAGCAAATGTTCTCTCTGAGAGAACTGAGCAAGCTCAAAGGCAGCTGCTCCTAAGCATCTCAAGACATCAAGATCTTATTGGACTCTGCAGACATAGGGATACTTTCTGGAAACTGAGTTATTCACCATTAACTCCTCCCATATTTTGGACAGGGCAGTTTTTGGCCTTGATAGTCAAACTGGGGATGCCATTTTCCATGGGCTGTTAGGTTGTGAGTGAGCAAGACTGTGCTGTATGTCATGCATTGAGTTGCATTAGTGTTGATTTTCAGGTAGGATCAAACATATTCCTTCTTTACAGCTTCCCTTGTAGATTGGATGACAGGTGCATGTCACCATGACTAGCTTATTGACTAAAATGGGATTTCACTAACTTTTTGCCTGGGTTGGCCTGCTGTCTGGATTATTTTCATCTCTGCTTCCCAAATAGCAAGAAATATAGGCATCCATATGTGAATATTAATGCTGACACTGAAAGCAGGAGTAGCTATATGAATTTCTGGATGAGTAGATTTGAAAACAAGTTAAGTTTTCAAAATAAATGAGGAGCATTATATAATGATAAAGGGGTCCCGTTGTCCAAGAAATTCAACCATCTTAAAATGTATGTGTCCAACAACAGAATATCAAAATAAGGGAGGAAAAATGTTACGATTACCACTTACAAGTGCTGGACCTAGCTGCACATGCC